CCCCAACCACCCGTCTGCCCCCTTCGGATATGAGATCCACTCTCGAGGGAAAAGTGGCACCGGCGATGACTGCATTTGACGTGCAATGCGCGATACAATGTGTTTCGGAATGAATTAATCCGTGCTTTCGTTTCCTCTCTTTTCTCTCGCCGCGCCGCCCTTTCGATCAGCAAATTAACGAGTGAGCGATACCGACGTTATCAATATACGAGAGAGAGAGAGAGAGAGAGAGAGAGAAAGAGAAACAACGAAAAAATTAAATCGACGGGCGAATATTAAATAAAACGCTCGTGTCTGTGTCGCCGGTATCTATATAAAAAGTCGCATTACGCGATGGAAATCAATAAATGTTTGCGTAAACATTTTCGGCTCGATTCTCCATTTGATTGATCGGTTTGCCTGATATTTTCCCTCGAGTAAACACGATTCTTTTTTTTTCATCCGAACAAATGAACTCCGCCGATTGGTTTGCGTTTTGCGAAATTGTTTTTTCCTTCCTCCTTTTCTCCTGACTGTTCAATTATACGCGGAAAAAAAAGTTTAGTTCTATCAACCAAAAAGGGAACAATCAGATACGTTTTAGTCGAAGAAAAGAATTTCCGGTTATACGAAACAGAAATTCGGTTTCCTTCAATCAGAACGCATCTAGCTGTTCCCTTTCTGATTAATGCAATCAGATTGATTTTTCCGTATATGTACGTGTGTATGAATGAAGAGCCACGATAGCATCCGCGAACGCCTGTTCAGACGGCGGTGCTGAACGTTGATTCCAGGGCATGCGAGATAACACGCGAGTGACGTCAAATGAATCGTAAGACCAGCTTCCGTCCGTTGACCCAGCATGCAAAATTCGACCTGGATTGTTCAAAGGACTTCTGTCCGCCAGGAATCGCGGACAATTAACGTACGAGGATTCCGAGACAACGGATTACCGTAGACGTCGTTGTCGTCGTCGCTTCTGTGTCGCGCTTTCGACATTCGTCGAAGCAAAATTGCGAAGTTCCGCGCTTCGTGAGGGGAGAAAACAAGAGAACGGGGAAAAGTGTGGAAAATGCAAATAAAAAGAAGAAAAATGAAACAGACGTCAGAGTCGGGAGAATATTATCATCTGGGATATCTCTCTCAATAAAATTGCACGCGTGTTCGACCTATTGGAGCCTTGATGGAGCCTCGCAACTAAATGAAGTTAGCCCGAAGTTTAAAATTAACTTCGACCGACGCATTATTCGGAAGAAACAGTGACGAATTGCAATAGTTGAATGTAAAAGTATTGCTCTCATTAACATACTTTTGTTTAATAATAAGAGAGGCCGCTTCAAAAATGAAATATAATTATGGAAGAATAATATATTTTCTCGAAAGTAATATTACTCATCTCTCAGCGTCTCGAAATTCTCTCTTTACCCCCCGCTTAAATGTTCACATAAATATTTATAATGCACGTGTAAAAAAATTCCAACGGACATCTGCATGAACGTCGAATAAAACGATTGGTTAATTTTATGTCGTCACGCGCTCGCGAATTGCTACAGTTCGATGTAAAAGTGTTGCTTTTATTATTAGCACACCTTTGTATAATAATAATATTGCTTTATAAATGAAATATCATTATGGGAGAATAATATATTTTAAATGAGTAATATTATATTNCCCTTTACTCCCCCCCCCCCCCCACTTAAATGTTTACATAAATATTTATAGCGAACGTGTGAAAAAAATTCCAACGAACATCTGCATAAACATCAAATAAAACGATTGATTAATTTTACATCGTCACGCGCCCACTACGTCGAGTGAAACGCGCAGCTTCATTAAAATGTATGAAAAGAGTTCGCGAAGAGAGCACGCACGCCTCCCAACCTAATCTCTCCTCACTTTATCTTCGTGATATACAATTTGAGAGCAGATCATAGCGCACAAATTGATAACGAAACATATATATTTTGGTGCTCGTGCGATAACATTTGGCACAATGACGTCAAACGCGTACGCAAGTTCCCTATTCCTTTCCGTTGACCCGTTACATCGACAGTAGACGTGCAGCACGACCTTATATTCTCGCGTGCTTTCCTTTATACACGGTGTCTCGTAAATCAATCGGAAATGACATTCGGTAAGATAAGAAACGGAAGGCAAAACATTAAGGCGCTGTACTGATAAATTATGCGAACTGAGGAACGCCGAGTTTCTCATACAAATAAAGAGCTGAAAATAAAAATAAAAATGATGATAAAAATTTCCATAAAAATAAATATCTAAAATTATATCTAATGAGCTATAATTAAAAAAAAAAACCCTCTATAAGATAACCCGGTGAAGAAATGATCTAATAAAGGTCGAAGAAAAATAAATGAAGAACGCGGGAATAAGGAGGCGGGTATTTTTTTCGAAGAAAGAGAAAATTAAACGGTAAAATATTTCTCCCTTGAAACTGTCCGTTCTCCTTCTCTCTTCCTCCCTTAACGAACTTAACATCGATTTTTCCTCGCGGAAAATTCAATCGGCGATTTAATCAGCGGGCTACTGAGTTATCGCGGATTAACGGAAGTGTAAATTGGTAATACGATCTTACACACTTCGATTAATTCAAAGGTAAACTTCGCTTTAACGAAAACTTTATCGCATTAATGTTATCCCCTAATTAGACGAGTTAATATTTGTCTGTGCCGCGCCTGTGTGCGTGCGTGGATGTGTGCGGAGAGCTCTAGTGTAAATTTTGAAGATTTCGAAGTGTGCTCGCCTGTGGAGTATCTCTCGAGAGTAGTACACTCGACGTAAATCCAGTTCGCATTACACTCCGTCGTCCGTGTATCCGTAACCGATCGAGAGCAAGCGGCGTGTAAACCCTGCGAGTACAAATTATTGCACAGGCATTATCGTATTAAGAAATATATGAGCGCCGATTGAAATTGACAAGCCATTTGCCGGAGCGGTTCAGTGCGAGCTCGGCTTCGCCCCGCGGTGTTGCCGCCGTGTTTTACCGCGATCGCGATTCGGCTTTGGTCTGAATTTAATGCAAATGGCTTGTTTCACCTCGGCGAGGTATCGGAAATTTGCCACTTGCGTGTGTACGACGAAGTGCCTGAGTTTTTCACCGTTGCGGAGAACACGCGACGATTCTCTTGGAGAAGAAAAACAAATTATATATGAAACGGACAACAAAGTTTGATTGTTATCATCGTCGTTGTCAAATTTTAGTTTTTTTTTTCTCGTTTTGTCCGCCTTGTACGAGGTAAATTCCTAGGATAAAGAAAACGTCTACAGTAATGGGAAAAACGCAACATGATTGAATTCAATCTCTCGAACAACTCGAATCATCTCGACGATGTGTCGAGTACCGATTGAGTTCCGACGTCAGACGCCGCTGGCTAGAAATTAATTGACGACAATCATACTGTCGTACTTGCGTCGATGAAAGAACTAGGAAAGAATATGATAGAGGTGAATCTGGGAGATTCACGGTGAGAACGGTAGGAAGGTAGAAGAACTCCGTTATGCTGTTTACGTACGAGTTGGCAAACGTGTACGTATCGGTGTTATGTCACGCGTCAAGAGAAACAAATTTTAAACGTTGATCGAAGTCAGACGAAGCAATGTCAACGGAAAAATTGTGTGACAAGGTATACATTCGTCATATTCATCACTGAGACTTCATGTGCGCGAGCATACATATAGTTTTTGTAATTCTACCAAATTTTTCACAAGTCTCCTTAATACTCTCCTTAAATATTGCGCGTGTGTGTGTATGAAATATAATGAGTAAGCGCGAAGAATGACAGAAGAAATATTTCTTGTTGGCAGTGGATAGTCTCGCAAGAATCTCTACGCAAAGCTCCGCCCTCAGATGAGATCGGAAGGATCAGCGCGTTAGCGAACAGCACAAGCAGCGTACTCTCCGACGAGATGGACACTGTCGACAGTGCCAACAAACGGCAGGCTACGCGTGTCTTCAAGAAGTCCAGCCTCAATGGCAAGATTACGGTCTACCTTGGCAAGAGGGACTTCGTCGATCACATCACGCACGTTGATCCCATTGGCAAGTATCGATCATAATCGACCCACGCGCTTGCCAGCGAAAATAACCGCATTTCCCTTGGCCCGGTTTACGACTTTCGATTCGACTCGACTCTCTTTTCGCAAGATACTCGCTCGTATTATATTTTTCATCAATATAAAATAACCATCAAGGCGTATTATAAATTCCAAGGCTAGAACTGTTCCGACATTTTCGAAACTTTGATATAATTTGACATCCGACGACGAAATTCGAAGATTCGTGATACCGAAGCTGTTAATGGAATTAATTGTAGAAAGTACGAAAAAATGCTGTATGATTAGAGAGTATCAGTTCAACCTAGATAAATATTAATATAGGATCTTTTAGATGCAAACGTTGTTTGGGTAATCTATAGTTCAATTCTGAGATTTGTACTTGTCTAGTTTAGAACAAAGTAAATGAAGAAAACGCCAAATAATAAACAACAAATCTCATGAAATTTATTTTAACTTTCCGTTAGTCGCAGTATTCAATAAATATACGTTCAGGCAAATAACGTATCGCCGCTTCTGTAGGACTCAAGATTAAATTCGTCGTTGTCGATATTTTTCTTTATTCTTTTTGTTCTTCTCTGTTCTTTATATACTTTAGTCCTGGCCTATTAACCAAGTGCTAATGAAAGAAAAATTGTCTCAAGAAGCAAAGAAAAATAATGAGAAAATTAGTGTATCTGTGGGATACATTACGACCGCTCAGGGGTGAGAAATATTGCGACTAACGGAGAATCAAAATAAATGCAAATCTTGCCATAATATGTAACAGCATAACGCAATGTAAGAGAAAATTACATATTTTAGAACAGGAAACATTATTTACTATGCCTGCAAAATGAACACACCTTAGCCAGTTCTTGAAGTTTCGAATATTCAAACATCCGAATATTCGAATATCCGAAGTTCGAACTTTCATATTTAAAAATTTCATTATTCGAATGTAATGCGTCGAAGGTTCGAAAATTCGAAGCTTTAAATATAATTTCTAGCCCTAATAAATTAATTTAAAGCGATCACACGTCAATTATGACATTTACTTCCCTCCCCTTCAAATTTCATCGTGAGGTCGTCTCAACAATTCCAGACGGAGTCGTCCTGATCGACCCCGACTACGTGAAAGACCGGAAAGTGTTCGGCCATGTTCTTGCGGCGTTCAAGTACGGAAGGGAGGATTTGGACGTTCTCGGACTGACATTTCGTAAAGACCTCTATCTGGCGGCGGAACAGATCTATCCCGTGCCGGAATCTCCGATGTCGCGACGGGAGTTAACACGATTGCAAGAAAGGCTGATCAAAAAACTGGGTAACAATGCGTATCCCTTTTACTTCGAGCTACCGCCTCACTGTCCGGCCTCGGTCACCCTGCAACCGGCGCCCAGCGAGACTGGCAAACCCTGCGGCGTGGACTACGAATTAAAAGCGTTCGTAGGTGAGGCGCAGGACGACAAACCGCACAAACGGTACGAATCTCGGTCCAACGCGACTCATAACCGATCGACGAACTATTAAAAATTCCAGTCGCTCGGATAAACAACAGGGGGTTTTACTTAATTTAGAAAATCATTACAGAAAATTAAATTTAACTTTGATCAAAATTAACTTAAAAAGGGAAATATTTTCTTGAATGAAAAAAAAAGGAAATTTTATTTTCGCATCTTATATTTTTAAATAAAAATATAAGAGATCTTTTTTATGTCAAAGTGAAAAAATTTTGGTTGGAAGTAAGTTTCGATGTCAAATACGACGTATTTGGACTTCGGCTTAACATCGCGGAAATAAGCATTCTTAGAAGTCCCGATTCTTCTGTGTCAGCGAATCACGACACGAATAATCGAATTAATTATTCGGTTACCGCCAGAATTATTAATCGTCGGAATTGATCTATAACGTAGGAATTCGGTAAGGCTGGCCATCAGAAAGATCATGTACGCGCCGTCGAAACAGGGCGAGCAGCCCTCGGTGGAGGTGAGCAAAGAATTCATGATGTCCCCCAACAAGTTGCATCTGGAAGCTTCGCTTGACAAGGAGCTCTACCATCACGGCGAGAACATAGCTGTGAACGTGCACATAGCGAACAATAGCAACCGAACTGTGAAAAAGATAAAAGTGTCGGTTAGGCAGTTCGCGGACATCTGCCTGTTCTCTACGGCGCAGTATAAGTGCACCGTCGCCGAGGCCGAGAGCGAGTGAGTATTCCCCAGCTAATTACTTTTCGCCCGTTATCAAGGGACGATGATATCGCGGCCCGCTGGCGAGAGAGAAGCGCATCGCAACGTAGGGCGGTTCGACCTAAAAAGCCTCGGTTAATAGAATTACACGTGAAATTCAATTCGAGGAAATGGAATTTTCAGCGCTTCGAGTAAACACGCCTCCAAATCAAATTCCGAAGAATCTTTAATCGATCTTATTTTTTGTTTCCCTTCGTCTCAAATTAAATTCCAAAGAATTCGAGGAGATGAAGTCGTTGAGCTTGAAATCGAGTTTCTAGGGGAATATCGAGAAGAAAGAGTCTTTCAATTTTAAGTAAAAATATCTTCGACACTCTTCTCAAAGCAGTACTTCATAATCTATTTGGATTTACTTTTCACACAAAAATTTCGAGATATTAAAGAAAAATATCGCAGTTTTATTAAAAGGACGTTTCTCAGAGCCGAAAGATAATCATAAATTATGATCGAAGCATCCCGAGGAAAAAAATGTTTATATATAATCATATAAAAAAAAAATATATATATATATAATTGTATATAATTACATATATCCACATAAAATAAAAGTATTATTGAATGAAAAGCGCAAAAAATAGATTTATCTAAGATTTTTACATCATGGGCAACCATAAATATAAAAATTTATCTCAATTATATTTGTACATTTCTAAAAATGTGGGATATATATAATTATATATGATTACATATAGGTATATAGAGACAACATTCATATATAATCATTTTTCCCAGGATTCTATTACACATATATGTGCAAAGTTCAAAATTATTTGTCTTCTTCTTCCATTTAATACACCGTTGATGCAACATCATTAATAACTCGAGAATAGCGATCGATTTAGCGTTATCATTGATCCACGATCTAAGTGTCTTGGATTTGAAAAAGAAAGAAATTCCAAGAAATCTCGCACGATTCGCGGATAGTAGATCGGCTCGAAGTTCGAGTCGCGAGACGAAGTTTTAGGCGCGATAACCCACGACATGAGACTGGTGGTGAGCAGGAAAATAAGATGATTGCACTGGCAGTATAGGGGTAGCGCCAGGATTTACCCTGAGCAAGGTGTTTTCTCTGAGGCCGACGCTTGCCGACAACAAAGACAAGCGGGGTCTTGCACTAGACGGTCAGCTTAAACACGAGGACACCAATCTCGCGTCTAGCACAATGTGAGTGCGAGATCAAGATCAAAGAGATCGAGAGAGCGCTTGTTACTCCCCCTCCCCCCATTACTCTCTCTCTCTCTCTCTCTCTCTCTCTCTCTCTCTCTCTACACATATATATATATATATATATATATATATATATATATATATATATATATATATATATATATATATATATATATATATATATATATATATATATATATATATATATATATATATATATATATATATATATATATATATATATATATATATATATATATATATATATATATATATATATATATATATATATATATATATATATATATATATATATATATATATATATATATATATATATATATATATATATATATATATATATATATATATATATATATATATATATATATATATATATATATATATATATATATATATATATATATATATATATATATATATATATATATATATATATATATATATATATATATATATATATATATATATATATATATATATATATATATATATATATATATATATATATATATATATATATATATATATATATATATATATATATATATATATATATATATATATATATATATATATATATATATATATATATATATATATATATATATATATATATATATATATATATATATATATATATCTTTCTCTCTTTTCTTTTCTCTTCTTTTCCCTTTCTTCTCTCTCTCTCTCTCTCTCTCACTTTTCGCTGAATACTAAAAAGAGAAAAAAGAAAGAAGAAGCAAGGAGGCTGGAAACCGGCCAAATGGATCGCGTCGTTTTCTGTGCCGCGCGTAATCACGACGATATCTCATCGCGAACGGCAGGACTTTATAGGAACTCGTCGCGCTCGAGAGCCATAAAGATGAAGAGCATAACGGTGACGCTGTAAAAATTCTTCCTTTCTTTTTTTCACCGCGGCTTCATCAAGTTACCGGGAACAGCGGAAGTCGCTAAAAGATTAGCTCGTTGCCATGGCGACATTCGCGCGATTAATCGAAGATTGAATTAAGCGACGAGCTAAATCGGTGATCGAATTAATCCTTGGGAGATTAAACCTTAACTGAGTGTTAAATTCCGGCACGCCGATGCTTTGCTCGAAAAATAAGGGAGATTGACGAGAGATATTATATATAGAGAGGGAAAAATATATATGTAGCATTTAATATATATATATATATATATCTTTCTCTCTCATCACGTTTCCGGTTTCTCCTACTCTTCTTGTTATCTCTTTTCTCTTTCTTACCGATGCAACAAGACAAAAACGAACGTGAAAAGTGGAATGACAGTATATTTTCTTGGTGATTTTGTGCTGGGAATATATTTAACGCGGTGGCCTGTAACCACGTATGAATCTCTATTGGTGGTGGTATCTTTTCCTCTGTAAACCGCACCTCCCCCTCTGCCTCGTCCTCTTTTTAACCCTTTCTCACCTGTCGAAACATTTTATCTCTCTTTTTTTTTTAACATTATATATCTTCCTCCTTTCACGAACATATTCTTCAAACGTTCCCGTAGATTTTTGGAGTATACTTCTCTCTTTTAATTATAAACGTAATTGTTTCACACACACACACACACATACACACACACACACACACACACACACACACACACACACACGCGCGCGTCCTGTATCTTTTCTTTTAGGCACTGAACAGTATAGGATTGTCGAATCCTCGTCCCGTTTTCGTCCCTCGTAATAGTAGTCTGTATTGCAGTGTGACGCACAAGCTGACATATCGTATTATCATTGTGTATATGTGTGAAGAATGTGGTAAAAATGATCTGTTTGATACCGTAAACTCGTTCCCCGTTTTATCTCAAAGCGCACGGATTTCAACGAAATTGAAGTTCCGCGAAACATCTGCGGAGGAATGCCAATAAAATCGCCCGCAGTGCTATCGCACTGAGTTAATAATAAACGGTAATCAAAGTTTAATTAATATTAACCTTATTAATATTAAACGATAAATATTAATCAGGTTAACGAAGGCTAATCATGCGTACGTAATTGGCGTGTTAAATGTGTATATTTCGATTCTCCATTGTTATTAAACACCAGCGATATATTTAAAAGCACGGATGGATTCGCGTGAATCCTTGCGTGAAGGAGGTATTTCGATACGCGTTGGATTCGCGATCGCAAGGAAAGAGATTGATTTTCTGCGTCTCGTTCATCTTCTCGTCAATTCGACGGACACGCCATAGAGAGAGAGATGACTCATCAACTGATTTAGAACATGTGCTCAAGCATGCGAGTGTTTTGACGCGACGATTAATCAAGCGTACGTACGAATTAATGCTCTCAGTATCTGTAATATTAAGGAACATAAAGACACGTTTGAACGTTCTCTCGACATAAAACGGTGGTTCAACACGCGACGTTTTCGCGAGATCGACGTCGGTAACGCGACTTCGCGGCCGCGAAATTTCGACCCACGTGGCAACACGTGGCCGACGGTCGCGCACTGACACTCATACTGGCTCTTCAATGTCAGGGAGGGATGCCCGGTGGGACCGGGTTTCACGCTCAGCAAGGTGTTCTCCCTGACACCCCTTCTGGCCAACAACAAAGATAAATGGGGGCTCGCCCTCGACGGCCAACTCAAACACGAGGACACCAATCTGGCGTCCAGCACCCTGTAAGACGCGATGCCTGAATCTGAGCCTGCGACACGCAGAGACACGCCTAGAAATCGATGCCGCCTCGCGCCTTTTTTCAGTAGTCACGCATTTAGCGCCAAAAACGTTCAAGGCAATTACGGACGTTACTCTTCGCGGCCTTCGATTCCGGATCCTGCGCCACGCGATCTTTCGTGAATCGTGGCTTCGACAGCTCGTCGAGAACATTTCACGATCGGATGGCTGAAGTCTCGAAGTTATCACGAGCGGTGAGCTCTACTGAAGCATGTGTAACACGTTCGCTACTACCGTTCGGAATGCATCTGAGGGTGCATTGCGAAATGCGCTGATAGCACCGACAGTACTGCTGCTGAAATGAGCATATTTCAATTGTTCTGAAATTACTAAGTAAACTGTGACAGCAAACTGTGACTGAAAACTGGAACACATTTGCAGCATTATGCAGTATTAGCAAACAATGTGCTTTTATGATATAGCCCACCCACACAATATGTATGTCTTACTGCGTTGAAGACATCTTTATGACATTAGAACGTCTTATTGTTCTTTGGGTATTAAAATATAGAGCGTATAAAAGTAAATTCGAAATTATAGTCAACTCTTAACTCCAATTTTAGTTGATGTATAATTATACGCATATTATTCTAAAATTTTATTGAAAATGATTTCCAAAATTCTTTGTCAGGATGAAGATATTTCAAACGTTTTAAAATTAATAACGAAACGAGGACCCTATTCGTATTAAGAATACGCGTGAAAGCTAATATTGAGAATGTAGTTTCCTTCAACCAAAGCTCATCTGGTTGTTTCTTTTAATGCAACCAGGTTTTTTTTCCGTGTGGGATTTATCTTCGTTAAAAAGGCAGTACGTTTCACTAGCTTGCAGCATGCTAGAAACGATTTCGAAACGCATAAACAGTACTATAAGTACTGTCAGTAATCATCCCGCCACTCTGTATTTTCTCTTTTTTGCGTAATAATGTAAAACAGACTTAATTAATATTTACGTAAGCATAGAATGAAAAAGTAATCCCTGTCACACGTATGTGACACCGGCCTCTCCTGAGAGATCGGTGCGTCGTTCATGCGTGACGTTGGTAGCGAACGTGTCAAGAGAGAGCATAGGGAGGGTGTGTATTAAACAAATATCTGGAAAAACGATATTAATCCGGTGGGTAGTAATAACACGTCTATTCATATTATTTATATATATATATATTTTTACTCATTGAGAACATTTTTCGCTTCAGTAGGAAAATATACATTTTTCTAAAACCGTGGCTTTTCAGAGAAAAACACTTACTTACTCTATACTTTAATAAAAACATTTAGATTTAAGGCTCTTGGCTACCAGCTGTTTAATAAACGCAACATTTAATTAAATTTAATTAACTTGATATAGAATTTTCCTTTCCAATCTCTTCTCATGATTTTGCCAATATTAATTTTACGGTTATTACTTTATTAATTGTTCGAATAAAAAAAAAAATATTCACGCAAGTTTACTAGTATGTTGAATCGATTATAAATGTCATTTTGTGGATATATTTTTTTATTTGAACGCAAAAATTGTTGGCATGCGTTTTCGCACTTCTGACGTCATTAAACAAGGATAGTCGCGAATCAGGAGCCTTAGTAAATACGTTATTAGCATCCACTTTATAAATAATTCATCTTAAAAACGATTGTATAAAAAATAGTAGGTAACTTCGAGAATGATGCCATTTCGATGTCGGGACTCCGTAAATTGCGTACTCGATTTAAAAAGTTCTAAAGCTCCCCTGCATCTCGAAAGGGCTTCGCGGGAGAAAAACTTTTGCGCAACAATTAATTATTCCTTTACGCTGTTACAAATTGAGAAACGCATTACACGAATGGATTAATAATAAAAGTTTCCTACGCGCGAACAGTTGCGCTACGGGAAATAAAAATATTTGCTCACAGTGTGTTTCATAACGCTCCGCGGTGTTTTTCAGCGCTGAATGCGTGGCGACGAGAGAATGCGCGCGGTTGTTGTTACGTTACGTGTACGCACACGTGTCATTGACGCACGCAACGCAGCCGATCACGCCTTTGGGAATTTCATTTTCGTCCGCAACGCTTTTCACCACGGCCGGAAAAAGAAAGTATATGTCGGTTGCCTGCAACGAAGCTTTCCTCGACGATCGAGCGAACAAGCGTCTGTCGATTATTGCCGAGCGACGTGTAACTCCGTTTTGCGAAATTCGCATAAAAAAAAAATTTCACCCGAAGTCTTGTCGTGCGTCTTGAACTCTTTAAATCCAGATCCATGGATCTCGGTGACCTCAATCAAGGTTTGAGAGTCCTCGCATCCGCTCTAAATCTCGAAAAATTTCGCGGAATTTAGATATTAAACGAGCCAGAAATTTAAAACCCGGCATCCGTGTGAATTCCGAGATCCGATTTCTTTAATCCTTTCGGCGCCATTTTCGCACGAGAACCTAGGTATTTTTTGTATTCTGTATCAAATTTCATACATTATGAATTCTCTTACACAGAAAAAAATGTGGTTGTATCAATAGAATTTCCAACAGTACGCGTAATTAGAATAAATTTTCTTAATTCAATAGCGATATCATTAAAATTAAAATTATCATTAAAACTTTAATTATTGAAACAATACATAATATAGTAGTTTTAATGATATTTACTTGAATCAAGAAGATCTACCCCCATTACGTTGCTGTTGGAAATTCAACCTACTATATTATATATTGTTTTAATAATTAAAGTAGTTTTAATGATAATTTTAATTTTAATGATATCGCTATCGAACCAAGAAGATTTATTCCAACTACGCGTACTACTGAAAATTTTATTGATTCAACAGCATTTTCTCCGTACATGTTAACTAATTTATCTTACAAAAATATTCAGTTTTTTAAAATAAAATAATTAAAATATGTGTACTGCGAGTCCTCCGAGATTATATTAATACAATATTATATTAAATTATATAATAATTTACATTTTAATATTATCTTAATCGTATAATGTTCTGTGATGATTGTTTTTCTCGACATTCTATGATCTAAACTACATTTTAAATTGAGCTTCGCGATACTTGGCTAACTGGAACGCGCGATGTCTGTTTCGTGACGAATTGTATTGTCTATTATGTACACGTATCGCGATGACTCACATTGAAACAGACAATTGTTCATTGTTTTCTTCACGTCTCCAACGGAACTACCATTAATAAATTTGCCCGAAAACTCGATAGAACGTAAAAGCACTCCACGATGGTATCAAAAGGATTAAAGAGTTGAGATCTGGGAGATTTAGGATGCGGATTACCTGGCGGCAAAGATATAAACCGAGATACCACCTCTGTCGCGCGCGAGCTTGTGCTTGTCGGAACATAATATCGCCATCGCCGTTGTGCTTGCGTGGAAAAATTGCATGGAACATTTAACGATTGCTCGTTTCCTCTGCGAAGCCGCACTCTCGCGGTTAACGTGATGCAAAAGATATGTACGTGGTTACCGCTTGGCATAAATGTTTGAATAGATATCGTCGAAGGTGTTGTGCAGAGTCAAGTGACGTTTGCGTGGTTTTCTTTTTCTTCTTTTTTTTTGTTCTCTCTCTTCTCTTCTTTTTCCGTTTCTGGCAAATAAAGTCAGCTCGCAATTTGCCTTCTGTATTGTTCTCCGTCGTCATTGCATGACAATGCTGTCGCGCATTTGTTAATCCCGCATGTGCTTCCACGTAATAGCGCCGACATCGATCGCAAAGTGAACGCATCGATATAATAACGATACAAATACGATTCGCAGTGTCGTCGACCCGTCGCAACGTGAGAACCTCGGCATAATCGTCCAGTACAAAGTTAAAGTGAAACTTTGCCTCGGCACCCTCGGAGGGTAAGTTTCGACACGTCTACTCGTAAGGGCTGCATGCCCGTCTGTGAGAAACGGAGATTCCGTTTCTCATGGTCGATCGACATCGACTCTCCACGAGGCTGAATGCGAGATCCCGACTCGAGATGAATGTTTATGTCTGTTTTATGCCGGCGTTATCGCGATCAACAGCGAGTTAGTCGCGGAACTGCCCTTCATACTGATGCACCCCAAACCGGAAGAGGAGGAACCAGCACCGTCCACGGCCCGACCAAGCCCTACGCACAAAACTGACGGCGGGGAAGTCCCTCTCGACGCCAACCTCATTCAATTGGACACGTAAGTCAGCCGGAATTTCGACTCAAATTTAACGGCGAGAAGGGCTCCGCCGAGGCCTCTTGAACTTTCCGATTTTTCGAAATTAAATCTGTCCAAGTAAACTCTTTTCAAGTAAATTTTTCACTGACGGTTTTTTTTTTTTAATTAAATCTTTCAAGGCAACCATTTTTTAAGTAACTTCTTCACTAATTTTTGGAGGAAAGGTTTTTAAACCTTGCGATTTTTAAATTAAATCCTTATAGAATTTCTTTCGATTGAATTTTTCGAGAGAGAATTCTCCAATTTGAGTTGAAATTTAGGCTCCCGTGATTTACAATGAGGAATGTAAAGTTTTTAGATAGGCTAATCAATGTCAGTCTGGTTATTCAGGGATTAATTTATTAGTTACTGTGGAAGAATAAATATGTTTGACAGTGTCAACGCACGCTCCGGTTAGTTTTGTCAGTGATAACTAATAAATTAGTAGCCGAATAACTGACTCTTAGCCTATCTAAAAACTTTTGAATTTCCCTATTTTCACATTAACATCCCTGTTTTTTTTTTCAAATCATTAAGCAGTGTCACCATATTATTATAAATAACATTCTAAGTAATAAATAACTATAAATCTAGAATCGATTGAATAATACAATTCGGCCATTCGACGAAATAACACTGACGAATGTAATCGTTCAGTTCTCAATTTAAAATATTGATCGTCGACAAAGTTATTGTATAGAATATAATGGGAAGCCATAATACAACCTTTTCTTCTAATATTGTTGCATTCTTAATACTATGTAGATGTGTCTTTTCAACTTCGTTTCAAATTAACATTTATTATTTATGCAATGAAATAAATATATAGGAACTTTATTACTTGATAAAAATTAAATTTATGAATAGCCCCCTTGATGGGATAACTAAACGTATAGCACTGAAAAATAGGCAATATATGCTTACATCATTCGAATAACATTTTTCGAAAGATACGACTGAGAAGAGGCCAGTTTTTATTAAATTTTGGTTCTGTTCTCAGGGAGACCGACGGTGACGACGACATCATCTTCGAGGACTTCGCGCGTCTGAGGTTGAAAGGCGAGACAGACGCTTGACCGTGTTCTGCTGACAGCTTGAAGCGTCCCGACACGTTCAACCGTTTGACCTTGACACCACCTCGTTGCGCGCAAGACAGGAACCGCACGACATCGCCGGTTGTGTCGATAGCAACGGTGCCACAGCAACAAACTTGAACGACGGTTTATTATCGTTAGCATCGAGCACAAAATGTCGCCGACCTCTTTCCACCGTTTTTTTGGAAAATGTTACAATTTCTTGAATTAATAATAGTTGGTCGCGAAAAAACGAAGAGAAGACGTTTAAAAGGAAATTAGAGAGAAACAAAGAGAAACATAGAGAAATGATATAAGAGAGGAATTTCGGATGAATTGCTTCGTGAACGTAATTTTGGATTTCTCACGAATTAACTGAAAACCGGAAATACGGGAAGAATTCCTCTTCGATGATCGCCATTTTTACCAATCATCGAAGATAACAAGATTTACACCAGAGTTAAAGAATTACGCTAGAGTGGGTGGTTTGTTTATTATTTAGAGAACCGTTATTTACCGAACAATTGCTGTATAAATTAACTGGGCAACAATTAATTGTGTCGTTGTCTCGCGGCGTGTGTTCACTAATTGATCGTGAACGATTTCCATTTGTGAGAAAAGTACGGCGAATTGGTTGGCGTTTGCGAACTTTTCACCAAATGCCGACGACATTTTACGCTTTGGCTCTGAATGCGGCATCAAAGACTGATATTATCATGGAGAACATCCAGAAATTTTAGCCAATGAGACGTATTTATTGTAAAACTCTTAATGCTAAATGAAAGCTGCTACTGTAAAAAAAAAAAAAAAAGAAAAATCTATCCAAGAGAGAAAAATTCGGTGTATCGATATTTCGCATTTTTTTTTAAAAGAGAGAGGACGAAAAGTCACAAGCGAAATTCGCAATTAATTCGGCCACTCGACGAAATAATCAGTCACGAGTGAATCGCGAGTTAATTCAATAAATACGAGTTTATTAATTAGAAGTTAAACTACCAACTAATTCAATATCGAATCGATGCAAATTCGAGGACGAGAGTCTATCCGGGACTACCGAACAGCCGCTTTTAGTGAGATCACAATCGTTTTATAAACACGGCCAGTACACTGTCTTTAAGTTGCGTCAGCGTAAGGGATAACACTTTTACCAGTCTTTTTATTCGTTGGGTCCTCAGTTCTACTTTTACCAGTGCGGACGAGTGAATTAACGACGAGCTAATATCGTGCGGGCAGCGAGTTCGCGAGAAAGGCGAGTCTAACGCTTCTTCTGTTCTCGTGATAATTTCGCGGAATCACGATACTACAATTATAAGTCAAACACGAACGAGAACACAATTAATTGCAGGCAACTGGAAGCCGTTGACGAACGAATCGTCTGATGTGAGACCCTTTATAGGACGAAACACAGAACGAAAGAAAAATCGAGCCTTTTATATTTTCTCGCGTTTCTCAGAGAAGTTGAATTACTGTAAGGATATAGTTCACGACAACGAGACGGTGAGAAATGATCAGCCCTCCTGCAGATAAACTATAAAGGGTTAAGACTCCAGACGGAGCTTGTTCGGGAATGTTTAACGTAATAATTGGACGAAGTGCGGAGCGATAACGTAGGAAAGTTAGCAAAGGAAAGTTAAGCTGGCGTTTCGAGATGCAGAGATGTCAATTCGTAGATATATTTATGGATATAATTTCTAGGATTTATATATTAGTAGACTCATAAGATTTGTAATATTAATCCGTTGCACCTCCCTCTCCTCCCCACATACCCCGGCGACCCCGATTATATTCTCAATTAACTGAGCTAATGAATTGATTAAGTTAAGACAGCGAGCACAGTTCAGTCATAAGTATCGTCTTCGGCCAATATCGATTGTACGTTTTCGGGCTCAGATACAATGAAAGGAATAAGGAACAAGGAATTAAATACGTGGAATTAAGAACGAGGAATTAAACTTCGACATATAGACAACCATGCCTCGATTAACAATAAAAGAAGAATAGAGAATTCAGATTAAGAATACACATATTGTCGAAATTCGATTTCTTATAACTTGAGTGCTTATAAGGCTTAGTAGTTGATTGGAAATTAACTTTCAAAATGACTGACGATCAACAATACACAAATGAAGATTAGTTAATCGATCAAGAAAATGACAAAAGTGTTAAGGGGATGACGAAGTCGATGACGAACTTGATAAGCGTCGATAGTATAGAAGCGATCCTCAAAATGTTATATTACATAAATATTAACACGATCACGCTACTTTGTATTTCTTATACATATATGTTTTACGTAAATGTTAATGCGATATAAACGTGAATAAGATGAATGTGCGCTACTCTGTTTTATCATATCTAACGGAGAATCTATAAAATGTCAAGATATATAAACATTTTTCTGTAAATTTTTCGTATTTTTTTTTAGATTTTTATATACAATTGTGCAGAAATGTTCTTCGAAACTTTCCTCATCGAGGCAAACACACACTCGATATGTACAAGTTGCACAATTTTTGTTTTAGTAAAATATTTACTCTGCTTGACAGGTAGAGATTTCAGTTTTGTGATTTTTCATCGTTTTCGTCACATATCGGACAATGCTTCAATTCATTTTCGTACGTACTTTCGCTGTATAGAAGCATTTGTAATTCTGTGCAACCAATAAGACGTGAACTTTGCAGAAAGAAATCAGTATTCTGTCGGTAAAGTTTTCAAATATGGCATCCCCTTAATAACGACAATAGAGGTTCGTTAGAAAATAGTAAAAGTGTAGTTTAAAACGTCCTCATGTCTTATTCTCAATTCCTCTTATCGTGTTTTAAACTACAGCTTCCTAATTCCATATATTTAATTCCTTGTCCCTTACTCCTTTCATTGTATCTGAGCCCTTTCTTAAGACTGCTCGTGAATTCGATTTGCATTCGCGTTCACGACACGATGTTAGCAAATCTCGACTCGCCCGAATTTTGAACATCGTTTAGCACTTCGATATCGATATCGCCTAATTGAACCTCGGGCACAAAGACTTTTGCTATAAGACGACGAAAAGTGTTACGAAGATCATCATCCGACAAACTCACATCGCTCGAAAGGAACGATATCACGGCGACATTGCCTCGCGCGTAATTACGTCTCGTCATTTTTCCGAGAATCCGTAGGAAACCTGCTCTCCCTTCTTCCCCTCCCCTCTCTTCGTTAAAAGCAGCCGGAGAACTGCATTCTTGCTAATTCCGAGAACGAGTAATTAAAAAGCGCACGCGCATATAACCTTAACATGTAGATACGAAACGTTGCTGAGTCTCTCCTCAGCCGGCAGCCGGATTCTCGCGAAGATGACGATTTACCATCAACGGTTAATTTTCCAATTCTAAAGAAAGTCAAGTCAACGATGAACGGTCCACGTTGGCAACGAAGTTTAAGTAACGGCGACATTAATTACGATGACGCAGTTTGCAGAGCCACGAAGAAACTATAAAGCAGCAATGTACATGTATATATACATATACGGGAGGCGAGAGAAAATAGTATTTTTTATCACTTTAGCATTTACAAACTGTATTTAGACGAGGTAATTCAAGTATAATGGCTCGGACTGTCTTTTCGCCGCGCGTCACCAACTGGTCGGGGACGCGCGGCGGAAAACGCACGGGCGTGTTTCTTTTATACCAAAGCCGACGTTTCCGCTTTTTTCTTTTGTAATGCTTCTCGAACAAGTATTAATAGTAAATCGCGAGAGTGAATTAAATCTAAAGGGACTTACCATCCGATTGAGTACATTCATTTCTCCTCAATACGAAATGTATTTTTGTTGATCCATTTAATTAATAGACATGTATAAGTAATAATTCTCAATTAGCAAGATGACGTCAAGTGACGTCTCGATGACGTTTTAAACGTTAATAGAACGTCACTGAAACGTTACTTGACGTGGCCTTGCTACTTTTTTCAAATTACTGAGAATTATTGATTAGTCGCGCGGATTTATATTTTGTCCTTGCATTTTACGTCCAGTTTGACATTAACGACGTCGTCGTAAATTTAATATGTATTTAATTTAATATAATATTTAATCTTTTACGACGATGTGTCGTAAATTTAATCCACTTTCTCTCTCCTTTCATTGAGATATCGCTTTATTTAATATCTAACCAACGGATCGCACTTATTTTTAAGGAGCTCCTCCATTTTTTGACTCGCTCTCGTAAGGAAAAACCGGAATACATGCATGTTCAACGAACGTAGCTATTATTTAATTAAGGGAAAAAAGTTTTTGCGATTGTGGTAAATGTCGAGTGTCGACACTTCGATTATCGTTTTAAACATAAGCGACGTGTGTGAGTGTATATGTGCCGCGGCTTGTGTATACAATGAGAGTATATTTTATATTCGCCCGAGGGCGCGCGCATATTTTTTATATGATCGCAACGGTGTAGGTCGTTAACGTTCTTATTGTCACCCGATAGAACAAGATATACAGAATGGATTACGCCGCACAAAACTGGGAGAAGTAAATGAAGTCAATAAAGTGGTGCCGTCTCTGTAACTGTAATATCGAGATCGTTTTCCTGCGATATGAAACCACACCATATATACAAAGTGTCGCAAAAAGAAAATATAAATCCTATCCATCGCCGCAGGCGTTGATTTGAGAATTTTAGCAAGATTTTAAGACAGGTCTTCAGGTACGAGAGAGATATTCGCATCGACGAATTAATATTATGCGTTAGACCTACCAGCAGAAGCTACACGACTTGAATAAATAAGAAAGGGGAATATATAAAACTACACACGATTAGAATGTTGATATTCAATCGTTTTAAAAACTTGCTGAAATTGTATATCAATTTTGAAAACTTGTAACAAAAATTTGTAATTAAAGTTTCTGTATACAAATTATACAAATCACGTATACTCGTGTTCAAATATATGAGTTCCGTTACAATAAAAAAAAAAACAAAAAAAAAACAAAAAAAACACTAAATGAACCGAATTCTTTTCTATGCCAACTTGAATTACGATTATCTCGCTATTAAATGTGAAAAAAAAAACGAAGGTATATATATTTAATATTAAAAACTGAACGTTGTGAGACTAATTTCACGAAGGGAGAAATCCAACGACACCTAATTTCTTCTCGCGTGTGAAACCTGGACGCGACAGTTTTTGGGACACTCTGTATCTAACGAATCTACTGAATCACAGTATCACTGCGATAAGGAAAACAAACGATTACGCTTCTTCAATGTAACATATTTTGCACCGGAGAGCTCACATTTCTCTCATTTACTTCGTTTGTCCGAAGAAAAGATTGTATTCCCGTGCAAGTAGAGAGCCTTAGGATTAAACGTATCGCGGAACGCGGATATGCTGTTATCAGAATGGCTGCTGCATCGTGCAACATATAGACCGACGTAAATAATTGATTACACTGCGCATAATGGTAAACGACATAAGTTAGAGACAAAAAAAGAGGAGGAGGAAGAAGACGAAGAAGAAAGTAAACGAAGGAAAAGATAGAGATAGGTAGAGAGAGAGAGAGATAGATAAAAAGAGGAAGAGAGATTATGCGCTCGCCTTGAGAGTGTGTATCTTTAATTAGTGTAATCGAGTTGATGTACAAGTATCGTGGTTCATTACAGCTGTTACACGTGTAAATCATAAGTGAGAAGAAAAGAGAGGGCCATTATTGCTACTTGTACATTGCGCTAGAGGACGATTTATTTATTGAAGCCGCGCGTTGTTAGTTAGCAACACAAAGTCGTGTCGTTCATGGTCGTTCGTTGTTCATTCGTGAATAATCCGTTTTGTATGTAAAAGAGATTACAAGAGAACTAATAAAGAAGAAAGCGTGAGAGAGAGAAAATAAGCGAGAGCGAGAATAAATGAGCGAGAATGGATGAATGAGAATGAGAAGGAGAGAAAGGAAAATGCGAGAATGCATGCGTATAAATGACACGAAGTAAATAATGCATAATATATTGTATATGTAAAGATCGTGTATTCTCGTATTGTAACTAGCTGTAATAATTTAATAAATCCTGTATATCGGAACTATACATAACTCTCCGTATATCTTCTTTTATAACCCTCGAGCATCATCGTACATCTCGCGTATATGCTTTAGTATTCTCTCTCCATTTGAATGGCCGAGTTCTAAAAAGTTCTCCTCAAAATTACTTCGTCGACCCTTCTCGAATTTTTGTATTGTCCGCAGAATTTTCTAAAAGTTTTCTCCATAACCGAGCAACGTTGAAATACTTAAGAATAAAATATAACAATACACAACGTGACATTGATTAATATATCAAATAATAAAGCATTATCAATATTGTGCACTGCAAACGATGTTATATTATAAAATAGCGCGGTATATTAAAATGCATGAAAATTTTGTAGAAACATTTCATATGATTTCCGCATAATTTCATTATAATTGCGCGCGATACGTTTCACAAGCGCTGCTCCAGTTTCCGAGAGTTAGGAGGAGTTCCTTAATTAAAAAAGTAACGTGCAATTAACGAAGTCGATCAACCTAACGCGAAAGACATGACAAGATTAAATACATTGCTTCCCGAAGGGGGAGCTAAGACTTTCTTTCCAATTGACTACGTTAAGGAGATTTAGAATACTTTGAAGGACTTTCGACGTACAAATTAATATCAATACGTGAGAGTATATATTTTAATAAAATATGTTAATTATAAAAAATAATGATATATCGAATGCGCGAACGCGCGTAAATAATGCAGCTTACGTAACGTATTATTATTTGGAATTTCTAAATTAATATCGCGACCTGGATGAGACGATGATATCGCAATTAATAAATAATGCCAGAACACGCGACTGTAATCCCAGAGAAGAAACCGGGCATGAATAAGAAAAATATTCAGATCCCTTCCATAGTTCCCGAAGTAATTTGCAGACGAGGGTGGTGAATTCGCCATTTCGTTCACGTAGGAACTTCATGCGGATTTAGTCGTCATCCGCCGCAAATTCTCGTCATAAATCGCGCCGAACAGAAACTAGGAAAAAAAAACAAGGAGGGAGAGGAAGCAACGCGGGGGAAGAAAAACGAGAACAGCAAGACGCAGCATTGAAGAGGCCCCGGAAGAATTACATGGCAGAAAGGAAGAAATCGGCCGAGAATAAGAAATAAGAGAAAGCCCGCGATAATGGACACAAGTGGGAAGGGGTGGGAGGGGGAGCGAACAGGGGGCACGGGCGAGAAGCGGAAACGAAAGAAAAATGAGGAAAAAACGGCCAGGGGCACCGAGGGAGGAGGGGGTTGGGGGAGGGAGAGGGTTGGCAGCAGAGGCAGAAAGGGAGATACAGGGTGGCGCGCGAGTTTTGACACGCGCCGCTACTCCATCTCGCTTCATCTTGCTCCTCCTCGTTCCGTCTCGTTTCATCTCACCACGCAGCCTCCGTGTTTCTTCTTCAGTATGATCCGCGCGGTCCGAGCGCGAGCACCGTGCATCATTGCATGCTGCAACGTCCCGATCGCGCGTCGTGCGCGCTCGATTCGTTGCGCGGGAGTGGACGATCGCGAAGCTGCTACGTGGTGTCGAAAACCTGATCCTGACGGGTTGACGGGAATCTCAAATGAATCCCGAATTGAGCCGAATGTATGAAAGGCTCTTCAATGAACACAGAAACGTCCGATCGCCGCGAGGGCCGGCACTCCGCCGATTTCTAAGCGACGGGCTCCGCAATAATTTCCCGGGATAACCACAAATACACCAAAGTCAGAGAAGTCGAAGAGGAACCGTCCCATATATTCTCATCCTCGTGTCGGAGTATTTGTTTCGCCGACGATGCGTCAATTCATTCATTCAGCCCCGTGAACTCTCACATTAGTCATCAGTAGTTTCGTCCGTGGAGTCGCGTCGCGTCGTAGTGTTTTATCACGTCGCGAATCACCGCGGGGCTACCTCGTGGGAAAGGTCGCATCGAGTGAAAAAACTTTTAATGAGCGCAGAGGTAATCGTTCGTCGTATATAAAGTCGTGCACAAAGGCAGATTTTCGGCAGATTTTTCGAGAACGCCGATGATCGTCCGAGCAATTTCCCGGACACTTGTTCGCAAAACGTACATGCGTGCAGAAACGTCAAATAAGAATCTACTCCCTCCTGTTAGATACATCGCCAACTTTTGTGTCCAATCGTTACATCTCGTTACTGATTCATCGGTTTGTTCAAATAGACCGCAGCTCTTCGAGCTTTCGTGCATTAAAAGTCGATGGATTCGCGCTACTTTGCGATTCAAATATCACGAGCCACTCGAGATTTAATAAAAGCCGACCGGGCCAATCCTTCTAGGATATCGAAGAGTCACGTAATGCCGCGAGATTCTATAGCAGAAATGCATGGATGTGCTCGGAAGGTGTTCTTTACGAACGCCTTCCGAGGGTGGCACGCGATCCTCCGAGACTTCAATCCGCAGCATTTCTTCGCAAGTTCCTCGCGTCGTTCTTCCCGTCAAATAGCAAAAATAAACTATTACAGAGATCTCGAAATTATACATTTCGGTGATAATATATTAGACTCGAATTCTCTTAACAAAATAATATATTTTTAAAAGATTTCCGACAATTAAATTGAAGATTTTCAGATTGAGATTTTTTCAGATTGAGATATTTTAGATTTAGATTTCTGTAATTGAATTAGCTGCCTTGTAATAAATCGAAAAATTCGTTTTGCAAAAGGTTCTGTACTACACGGTAAAAAATTTTGTGTTAAATTTAACACGTCACGGTTCACCCAAATTTTTGTGTTAATTTAATACAAGGTAAATATATTAAAAAGTAAACACAAATGTTATATGAAAAATTAACACAAAATTAATACGTTAATCGACACTGAAGTACAAAATATATTATTTCAATATTTACAAATGTTGAATATCGACATAATACAAAATGTTGAGATAATCAAAACCCAATATGTTAAATTGACACACAGTTTGTTAAAAATTTAACACAAAAATTTCCACAAGGGCCGATTTTAACAGAAATACAAAATGATTTTACTGTACAGGCAGTAGATATTTCTCTTAAAATAGATATTACTCCATTTTCTGCAGGAATCAGTGAAAACTGAAATTTTTTCCATAATAATGCTCATCGACATCGCGTGGATTCAAATATAGATTGATAATTTAAGAATTCAATTTAGCATATCGATTCATTGCTGCATAAAATGAAACGAAAATAAAGGTTACGGCTAGGATTGGCATTTTAATTTTTCGTATTGACGTTTATTCTCTAATTTTGACAATTACGTCCCCTTGAATTTTATACCGAGATCTGCTGTAATCCTCTCTTCTTGTGAGTATGATTGGAAACGAAGAAAAGACGGGGAAAGAAAGGAAATAACAATTATATTTGCGTCTTCCCAACTTTGTCGGACATTCTTGCCGTAGAGACGTGAAAGTAGTTATAACTCGAAGAGAAAGATTTTTCGGATCCACCGCCGGACGTGACCTTCTTTCGCCTCAAGGTTAATGGAGCACATTTTCAAAGTTTGACGGCCCATTTCAGAAACACCTTATATCGGGGGGGTACCGCCTGTCTGGCCCCTCGATGGCTTCTTCTACTTGGCACTTACGGCGAAGATTATACCATTCGAAATTTCCCCGAGAACCTTCACGACTGCCGAGAGGTAACTTCGCGAGTTTCACGCACCCTTTGTAAGCTCCCACGTCTATAAATCATATTTCGGCGAAGCCATAAAGCCTCGACGGTGGGGGGATGGGGGTGGATTGTGGACGAACAAATAAACATTTACTTCATCGCCGTCCGCGAGTATCCGAAGAATCGGAGAGAGAACAATTCCAGCACGATATGAAGTGGGAGTGAAGACTTCGCGAGGAAAGTAAGCGGTGCGTCTCGGCTGAGGTACAAACAATGTACAAATCGCATCGGCGACGTGAAAGCGTCGATGGCGTCGGGACGTCAACAGCAGAAATTGAAAAAGTAAGTACGATCGTGTAGAGTCGATCGACTTACGATATGTTTCCTTTCATGGCCGAATTGCACGATTCCATCCCCCTTTGTCTTCTTTCTCCGTAAGTTGAATGACGTGTGTTTACTTCATTTCATTACGATTTTTCACTAAATATTCACTAGATGAAAGAAATTAAACGTGTAAAATAACACTAAAATATAATGCGATGCGAGGTGACAATTGGTCATAATTATGTGAAAGATACAACCCACATATGGAGAACGTTTTGAGAAAAATGAGGATGGGAAAATTTAATACATGATTTTGAAAAATATAAATAGCACTGAGATTCTTCACAGGCTTTCAAGAAATCAAACATGGTCCATTTTCTTTTCTGTAAAAGTATTCATTGACAAGCTTAACCTTTAAAGAAATGGATAAAAAAAGACGCGACTAGTAAAAAAATGGCACAACTACACAGTAAGAAAACATTTTGAATTTGTGTTAAAATCGGTTCTTGTAAACATTTTTGTATTAAATCTTTAACATACCTGTGTTAATTTAATGTATTGTGTTTATGTCGATATTCAACATGTGTAAATGTTAAAATAACATATTTCATATCTCAGTATCGATTAACATATTAATTTTATGCTGATTTTTGACATAATATTGTGTCGCTTTTGAACATATTCACTTTTTGTTAAATTAACGCAACAATTTGAGTGGACCGTTTGGGACATGTGAAATGTGTTAGATTTAACACATTTTTTACCGTGTAGAAAATAAAAACTGTTCTTTTAACACTCCGATGTAGTCGGAAAATTACTCCAATAATCGAACGTATCTTTCAGATACTACCATATTCTAATTAAAGTTAAGTTGTTAGTTAATAGAACTATTAGTTAAATTATAATTTTACGAAAGTAACTACTTTCCATAATCAGAAAAATGCATTCATTTTCATCTCATGGATATTAAAAACAAGTTTAATCAATTGATATTTCAAATAGAATTTGATAGTAACTTTCCCCGATTGCGATCGTCGGAGTGTTAATCAAATTATGGTTTTGCATTTGCTTCTTGTGACCAGGATATATTTTTGAATATTCAAAAATAAAAAGTTAGCTTAATCAATTGAAGCAGAACTGATTGAAAAAGAAGAAATTAGAAAACTTACGTGAAACGATCGCAGTCTACAAGATATACATTACCGTCTTGAAGAGTAGATGCACCACGTCATAGCCGTAACAATATTGAAAAATAAAAGACGTTAAAAGTGGAAGATACATGGAGGGGCATGATTCAATTGCTTATTTGACTACAAACGCTTTCGAAGTTAGAAAGCACATATTACAGATATTGCAAGTGACTGAATGTTAATTAATTTTAGACGCCTAGAAGACTTGGATTTTTTTGTTTTTTTATACAGGAAAAGTATACCCATTGATAAAAGAATTTCAAAAATCATGATTCTGTCTTCCTTGAATAACTATATGGCCAATTATAAGTTGTTGCTGAAATTACTTCAACTGTTGTTTAGGACAAGGAATTTGTAAAACGGTAAAACGCTTTTGGAAGTACAAGCAACCTGTCAATCACATTAGCACACAGTATAGAAACTATATAATATAACTAATATAACTTATACCGTTATATAATATAACTATATAAAGATCGAGTTGACAAGAAAACATGTGATTCGGAAAAAAAAACTGCAAAACAACGACGAGGGTACGGAAATGTTCAGTGAACAACGTAACGTGATCATGACAGTTAAAAACATTCGAGGAAAATCGAAGGATTGGAATTTACAAGTATAAGAGGATTAAAATGCATCCTTTAAGAACATTTGCCGAGACTCGTTTTGTTCCACACTTACTATGGAAGCCGCGTTGTACGTTATTTGCATATATTATCCCTTTTATCGCGGAAGCACCCGATGAGATAAACTTTTTCTTCCACAGCGAGATCGCTCTTGACTAATAACGCCGATGACATGCACAGACACAAATACATACACACGCGTACAGTCTCTCGCGATAACTAGAATGAAATTGACACGTCTCCAGTTTACCAGACTAATAACTGCGGCCAGGGGGATGTTCGAAAGGGGTGTCATAACGATTCAATTTTGGTAACGTCTCTCGATTCTCATCCCGAAGCGTGATTCCGCGCGGCTGATCGTTTTTCAACAGGCGAGCGGATATAATCGCTCTTTAAAGGGCCGAGCAATTATTTATCAAACTACGGTCGCGCGACTTTTTCCCCCGAGCGATCCTCCCTCACGATTTCGATATATATTTGCCCCGCCTTTCCAAGCCTTCTTATTTTAACGGCACAGATATCTTTGGACTCGCAGCCAGCGGCTTTTGCACTGCTTGTTCACCAACCATGCTTTCTCGTCCAGTTTTAAACTTGTTTACCCGCCATGAAAGCTCACGACGACGCGGTTCATGCAATTTATGCCGTGTTGAGCATATGTCCTTTGATCGCAATTTCAGCGGGTTTCGTCGGTAATGAAAAAAAAAACCCGCTTAATGTTGCATAACTGTGCGATTGCAAAATGTGGGCCATTTGTTGAGAATTTCTAAGAAACGCAAAAAGAAGCACCTGGAGCCGCGGCGAAAGCCCGCCATGGCGTGAAATCCGAAGTTATTTCCCGAAAGTCTGTGTCGCGATGCGAGGATTCGCGCATTCGACGATTAAAATGGCTACTGTAATTGGTTGCGGTCAATTGAGCGTCGGTGAATTTTAAGCTCTTAAAAGAACGGTTGCTCTCAGAGGTGCTCTTCGCGCGACAACATTTCCACCGTCTCCGAGAAAATTCCCTGTAAAAAACATTCACGCTGTCTATACGTACCATCTCTTAAGAATTGAGGTAGAGAGAGAGGGAGAGAGAGAGGTGGAGAGAAAGGAACAGCCCTTGACGTTGAGGCGCCTTCGAAAAGAAATCTAATAACCGCTCCGTTCTCTCTCATCGCGCTGCAGAAAGTAGCCGCGGACATACTCGCGACAGTAAAACAATGAGTAACTATTATTGTTCTCGTAATTGAGTCTCGTGGAAAAAGTGGCGAATGAAAACGGCGAAAAGCTGCGTTTTATCGTATTCCCTCTCTGACGCATATCGCTCCGAGCCGTCGCTCGAGAACCTGGCTGCACACTCAATCGTGCGTAAATTTTTACAGCTTTGTTAAAAATGCAGACGACTCGCGCATGATCGGAATTTTCAACGCAGTTTAATATACAGAGAGAGAGAGAGAGAGAGAGAGAGAGGAAGGGAGGGAAAATCCCAGCCAAGAGAGGACAGCCGATGTTCACGCACATATTTACTCTTTATATTTCATAATTAATAAAAGGCTCGCACACTCACTCTCCACGCATCAAAGACATTCTTTGTCGAAGCGCATTTCGCAGCTACCTCGGCCAAAAATCGAGCCGTGCGATCGCGTTTAGAATTCGGGGACAAAATGACGATGGAACGATCAAAAATATCAGCGTATTGGTAATAATAATTCGATATATAACTCGAATAATAATTCAAGCGCATGAGAGAGAAAGAGAGAGAGAGAGAGAGAATCCGTCTCTCGCACGGACAGCGAGATACTTTCCTTTTTATCCCGCAGCAACCCTCGCTCGATCGACTGTAAGGGAAAAGAACAATAATGCAGCTCGGCGGCCTAATGACACGATACGCGCCATGTGATTACCCGATCGCAATTTTTGCAACGCAGAGCGCGTTTATGTTTGTTATCTACACGCGCATGAAAAAAACGGTCCACGTGTAATACAGTATTCAATTCGATGTAATCTACGGTGGCACAGTGTAACGTAATATTATGTCACAGAATACGATGGGATAAAGGAGACGATCCACCGCGATATACAATGTACGCGGTCTGTATCTCTGGTTTTAATGGACAAACTTCGAAAGCTCACGGAGACAACCGAAATTGAGAAGAACCGTCCCTGTGTGCGCCGGCTCTGTGTTAATTATACTTCGCGAAACGCTCTACGTATGTGACAAAACATGAAATAATAATGACTGGCCGATAACTGGGAGATGCAAATTAGTCGTCGCGTGTTCGCGAAATTGCCCTGCGAAAAAAAAGTGCCTTTGGTATATTCGTGGCTATAATTGCGTAGTAAAATAATTATAACCGGAAGGACTGGTTTTCATAGTGAATTTGCGCTGCCGTATTGTTATTATAACAACCTTCTACACACGGGGGAGGGAGAATTTTGTAGCAAAAATTGCTAAACAATTTTGTAACCGCGTGAAATATATCGACATTCCGCCTCTACTTGTAATTATTCCGTTTCACATATGCTATTTGTATTTCAGCCTACCTTTAAACAATTTACTGTGTTCTTTAACAAAATAAACTCCATTGACAGTCCTATTCCTGTGCTGCCAGAAAACACGGCAAGATAAAGAAAATTTATTATAAGAAATTATATTAAAAAAAAGAGAAAACTTGTAATTTTTACTCTCCCTGTGTACATATCGCTACAAGGGAGAAAAATAATGCTAGAGTCAAGGAATTATCTGTTTTTCAACTCCTTAAAGCGAAAATGACTGTAATTTTAATGAGGTCAACCATTTTTTTCTCTCGGTTAACTAAAGTATCTCGGTACGTCTACAACACAGTTGATTAAGACTGCATTGTACGATCGCTGTTCTGTTTTTTCCCCCACCTGGCTCGTCTTTGTAATTTCAAGAAAAGTTGTTGACCGACTGAAACCGAATATTACCGAGTAATCTTCTCATTACCGCAACGGAATACGGAGATTCCGCGCAGATCCTCTTAAAATCTGCCGCAGGACGGTCAGTTTCCTAGCCGAAATTTGCGAATAATCGCGATTTCAATTATCGCGCACAATATTTATTCATCCTCCTGATAATTCCATCAAAATACGCCGCGAGAGCCGATCCGTACCAATGGCGGTCAAATATAATGGCGCGATTTCCATTATCGTCGAAAAACATTTATCCCCGCGAATTTCGCTGAAAATTTCTCGCCAGCAAGCGCGAGCGTTTTTAGCTACATTTAATTCAACACAACCGATCGATCAATTGATCGAAATAAGACAATTTTATTTTCGCACTGTGTCGTGATATATTTTCATATTGAGTAACATATTCAACAAGATTCTGTATTTATACACTCTCTTCTAAATTTACTCCACCGACGCAACGTCTATTAATTTAAATCGCGTATTCCAGAGTTCTTAAGAGATAAATAATTGTTGCGCCATCCTACGCGGCGCTTTAATAGCCGACCTCTTCGGCAGAATGACGCGCGTTAATCGCGATTATTGAATGTTTCACGCTAATTTCCCCGGAGAGATAAAGAGCTGACCGACCGAGGAAAGGCCGATGGTAATGCAATTATTTCCACTTTTGACGCATAAAGAGCGGAAGATTATAATTGTAGGATTATTCGCACGCTTTTTTCCTATCGAGGATATCATCGAACCCCCCGTGTGTGTGTGTGTGCGCGCATGATTCTCGCTGAAAGAAAATTATTTATACGTGCAAGTTCACGGACGTTTACGACAAATAAGAAGTATCGCGCGATGAGCGCGTGCATGACATTAATATAACAAAAACAAAGCGATGTGGAGAATAAAATATGCACGGAGCGAAATGAAGAGCGAGGTGAACGAGAAACAAGCGAAAATAAAATGGACCGAAATTCGACGAGGTGAAAACACAAAGGAGCACAACAGTCGACCATTTTGTCCCCTCGTCTAAGAGCAATGCGTCGGTAAATTAATTGAACGTGAGTGAAAGTGTCTTAATTATCGCGATGTTTAAAATTAAATCAAGTGTAGCGGCGAGATGTTAAAGCAACAGGTCTCGGATGTCGCAGGCGATCTACCTAATAAAATGCCGGCCTTCTGCCTTCTCGTGTAAACGGCTTACGAGGAAAGCTCAAGGCATTGGCGATATTGCGCTGAGATCGATGGCAACGTCGCACCGATAAAGGGATCGCGCGATTAATGAGTTCCGTGCGCAGAGCCGGCTAATCGAATTGCACCTACATAAGTGACGGCACTTAAAAATCACGCTCCAGCGAGCGAGGCAACTCCTTTTTTTTTTCTTCGCTTGTAGCTAAGTGACACGTGCTTAGCATACTTCAGCCCCGGCATCCTTCGACGGGTTTTTTATACCTTCAAACGTCTTGGTCTCTTCTCTCGAAGCGCTTTGGGGATTTCTGAGTTGGACGGAGGTCCCGATAAAGGTTCAAGTGAGAAAACGGCGATCTTATAAAGTTGTTCTTGTAAAATGTCTCTCTTTAAATCCAATAATGATGCATTATATCAGCAGGATATATTTATCACGCGTTATATTGATCATAAAATGTGATCGGCGTGAATTTTTCATGAAAATTTAACATTCAAATTCGATAAATATAATGACTATGTACATCGAATAGAGTCTTAGATAAATGATTGTAAATATATTGGTAACTTATCAGGGTTAATTAACGACATATTAACAACGTATTAACGAAAAGAGGTGAATTACACCTTCTCCACGGCTAGGACGGGCTGATTAATGTTTATTTCCCAGCTGATGACCGGCGGCAGAAACACGCTGTCATTGGCCTTAGAGGCGTCAGTGGTCATCGCATGAAGCCGCGTCACTTTCCACGCGGGACTGCTAATAAATTACATCCGTATCTCGCTCCCATCGGTGAATCTCGAGCGAGTTAACTCGTCGCTTTGGTGCGAGCGCGCACTGCCGTGCGCCAGTGCGATGCACTTCGGCCCTGCACTCGTCGATGCACTTTCGGCGCCGATCAACCCACTCAGGGCGCTGCACTTCAGATTATCGCGAGACCGAAAAGCGCGGAATGCCTGCGAATGAAATTTTGGGGACGACGCGCGATTTTTCGAATGAAAAACCAGCCGCGAAAAGGTGTCCGGCCACGATGCGACGATTTCGATCGATATTCCCGACACCTCCTCTCCGGAGATGCACGGAGTTTCCGAATAAAAATCCGTCACTCGGTTAAGCGCGCGTGCCGGATGCCCGTGAATTATTTAAAGGTTCGTCGAATCGCCGATAACTTCCTCGGCTTGTAAGAAATGAGCCGTTTCGCAGACGCGACTGCTGCTGGAAAAGCAGCAGAGCGTGATGGGGAACGATGGTAAATACTTCGATTTAACATGTTACCGTTTAATTGCCGTTAATAAAACAAGTACAGCTAAAAATCCGACCAACTTTTGCGAGGACTTGGTGATCATAATAAGAGAATGGATTCGATTAATTATATTCGTTATACCGCGTTATCATGTTTTGTTCTGAAATCTTTATGTATCAAAATATATAATTACTAGATATATTAATAACTATGCTTAAATATTTATACGAGTTTTTATATTTCATTCGGGCTATACTCGTAAGAATTTGTATAAATGTTTTATAAATATTTATGATTTACGACGAGTAAGGCCGTGAAGTGATGTGTAAACTCAACACATATTTCCCAAGTTCACACACGAGAGAGAGAGAGAGAGAGAGAGAGAGCGTTTATTTTTACATGCGCGATATCGCAAAGTTCCTCGAATATAAATAGGCCAAGATGCACTCTCTCTCGCGAGCAATATTCAGCCGCACTTTAATGTGCCCACATCAACCTTATTATTCATGCCGCCCGTTAATGTCTCGTTATCAACTTTCTGCGTAAACCGCGTAAGCCTAGAAACTGTTCCTCCTCCGCTTCTGCGCGAAAATCGTTTCCGGTTTCGCTCGTAAAATCCCACGATAACCGTTTCTAATTACTAATTGTAAAATGCGAGTGCGGCGGACGAAACCCATTTTCCTTATCATCCTTATTAATATTATACCATGAAATAATTGATAACTCAACATAAACGTGTATAAATCCACGAATTCTCGTATCGCTTAATCATTAATTAAGGTTCATGTTACTAATTTTTATTAAACAATTTTAATTAAAAAATTTTTAATTTATACTATTAAAAGTTCAGAAAAGAGCCTTGAAAGAACAAAGAGCGAGATAATGTAACACATTAATCTTCCGCCGCGAATTTAGATTTCGGTTCGCGATTTGTAAGGGATTTTAACGGATTTTCTCCGATAACGCGGCGGCGTTCTGAAACATAATTGACAGGCGAGAGTTGGCCAGAGTTGGCCAGAGCTGGCTGGAGCAGCAATTTGTTCGGGGATCGGTATTGTCACGAGGTGGAGAACAGACTGTCGATATCCAGCATACGTCAGTTAATCCGACCGGTAGTCCCGGTAAATAAATAGCGGTCCGCCAGGATATGGAGGGAACGAACGGAACTTTTGCAGCCTTCTCTCGAAAATCCGTTCCCGGCGAGAGAAGATCGCGCGTCCGATCTTCCGTTTATCGATGTCCTCGAAAGTCTACGCGCCGACATCTCGTCCTTTGTTTGCCGCGAAGAGGAGGGAGCGTGCGCGCTTTGTTCGTAAGATCCCCGCCCGCAATCAGCGCGCAAACAGCGCGCGCCTGGTTACGTCGTTATCGCTGAATTTCTGACGATAAAGGAACAGACGGCGAAGTCACCCTCCGATCTCTGATAATTAAAAAGGGTCGGCGGAATGAGACGCAGGATGCGACAAATGTCCTGAAAACATTAATTTAAGCCGATTTGGGAAACTACAGGCTGAGATTTTTGGTGGAAGTTTCGAGATTCCAGCCTTCCTTTGAGTCCTGCGATATATTCACACAGTTTAACCCATTTTACCTTCACACGAGCGATTGACAGAAAAGTTTCCGACATCCTGTATACAGAATGTTAATAAGTTTGCGTCTACAATTTATATAATGCCATTCCTTACTAATTAAAATTAATTATAAATCAAATTGAAAAATCGTGAACTATTTTTTTCTATTATTCGTAACGAAGGAAATATTATTAAACAAAATTCAGTCAACCACACAATATTTGTCATGGACAACGCGATAATCTGGTTTGCAAACGAATGTCTATTTAAAATTCCCAGATTTTCAATAAAATTCCCCGAGAATCCCCCGAAATAAACAAATTTTCTGAGAATTCCAGGGTTTTCCAGATAGTAGATATCCTAATCTGACGTTTTTAAATTTCAAATATTAGAAGTATGTAAAAAATTTGCGAGACTGAGAACCCGATGTTCCCCTCAGGTTGTCTTCAGGAGCACCTCGGGTCGACACAAGGACCTCACTCGAGCGTGCTATCGATCGTAACTAGGAGGTTCTAATTCCAAGAGGACCCCTCCGAGGCTCGTCATGCTGGTCCCGGAAGGTAACCTGACATCCTGGGGCAGCAACTGGACGACAATGTTGCACCAGGTATCCTGCAATGACACGCTTCTGGGCTGCGCTGAGAAGTGCGACGTCAGTCCCAGCGGATTTGACCACCTTTGTGTGGTCGACAAGGGAACCTTCGCCCCTTCGATGACTCTCTTTTGCACGCCTTGCGATTACGCGACTTGCAATGTCAACGTGTCATTGCTCCTCAACGGCCTCGAGAGCATCGAGGGTATCTTCCTATCCAGGATACCGACAAGGGATTGTAATGCCACGTCGTTCGCCGAACAAGTGAGTTTACTCGACGAACGGTGAGACGTTGAAGTATAGAAGTTCAAAGAAGCCCGGAATCGGAAGTTTAACTCGCCGAGATATGAGAATAAAGTTCCTGAGGCGTACGAGTGTTACTGAAGCTTCGAATACTCGGACAGTGAAAAATTAAGAAAATTCCGAGAAAGAGAGAGAGAGAAAGAGAGAGAGAGAGAGAGGGGGGAGAGAAAGAGAGGAATCAAATAAAGAAACGTTAACATTCTGAAAATTCAATTTTTCGTAACTTTTAACTTCTCAAAAATACGCGAAGATCTAGAAATATATTCTTTCAAGTTTAACTAATAGATATAACACATCAAATATTCCAAAAATGAAAGTATCAAAATTTCGGACAGTCGGCGCTCGAAGATTTGGGCGCCTCGATTTTAACGGCCACGTCTCTCGACATTTCTTAACGTTAACGATATCAAAGCGACAAGGGGTTGTCAATATCTCGAAAGCCTCAGAGGTCATCCCAGGGCGTGATTTAAGGAATCTTTATCCCACGAGGCGATATATTTCAAGCGGGGGATGACACCTAAAAATTGTTGCCTTCTGTTTCGACGTTTGTCGGAGGTTCCAGCCATTCGTCTCAAGTAACGCCTACAAATATCCGGCCGTTTCGCAGATTTTAGAATGTACCCCGGCCGGCGGCATCGCGGAGGATCTGGCCATGTCCTGCTCGCACCGATCAAGGATCGACGGCGCGGGCACCAAGGCTCGTCGGTTCGATTGGAGCTTCCTGTTCGTGGCGGTGTTCATAGCCGCCGGTGGACTGGGAAATATATTGGTTTGTCTTGCGGTAGTGTTAGACAGGAGGCTCCATAACGTGACGAACTACTTCTTGCTGTCACTGGCAGTAGCCGACCTCCTCGTGAGCCTCTTCGTCATGCCGCTGGGTGCCATACAAGGATTTCTAGGTGAGTTCGAGTCCTCTCCAAACTGTACTAACTTAACATTTCGAGCCGTTCCGAGAGAATCTGGCGCAATTATACAAAACGAGTCGCTGCCTCAGCGCGTAAAATAATTTCCCCGTTTTCGCTATTACGAGGAGAGTGCGTCTTGGGGAAAATTAGAAAAAGATATATCTAAATTTAAAAGCAGCTCTTTCCTACATTTTGTAAGAAGTCGGAAAACACGCCGATTTTTTTTTTTACAAGCTATGTGATTCTTTTGAACATAAATCTTTCCTGTCATCCCGCGTATAAAATAACCGAGATGAACGTCGAAGAGTGAATAATGCAATAATGCGGAAGCAAGAAATTTAAGAACCGAAACTCACAAAATCCAGAGAATCAATGGACCGATGCTGCTTCGAACGTCGAACGACTCGAATATTCCTCCGTTCTTATATTTCAACACGGCAAATAGGAACGGAAGGTTAAATAGAACGAGACGAAATGGCGAAAGGCGGGAATTTCGTCGCGGAAAAATCGCGACCTCTTGGCGAGTAGAGACGAATAATGGGCGCTCGGATAGAACGGTGCGTTTTGGGTGGCGTACGCGGAGCGGAATTTAGGTCCTGCGTGGCGACACGCGCGATCGGATTACGCTCGTAATGTAATCTGCGGGATTAAGATGCCGTGGAACAAGCGGAACAAACATAGAAACAGGAGATGATTCCCGTGGAAGGTCGTCAAGTCCGTTTGCGCGCCTTTTCCGGTCGCGCGCTGGTTACTGCGAAATTTCGCATTCATAGAAGTCACTTCTGGCGTTTAAATCACGCTCTAACTTGCGACAGAATATGTCACGATGAAATATGAGATGTCCCGTGAAGCGTCCACTTTTCGGTTAGGTCGCTTTAGTACTTTTGCCCGCGAGATGACCAGCGAAATCGATTTATGTTGAGGGAAAAACACGCACGGAAAAGAAGATTGCTTGAATTAACGGGACATGACGTAACCAAGCGCATTTTGGCGAAAAGAAACAGAATGTTTGCGTCTTATGAATCAAATTTAGTTCTCATACACTGAAAAAAAGTCATATCGTTCAAGTAATATTTACTTGATCCAAGCAAAATGGTTGCTTCAATACTCCTTGGCAATATTGAGACCGAAAGTAGAAAAAATATAATTAATTTTATACAATATAATATTTCTTTTGTGTAAGTAGATATTTACTTGTATGTGTTAAAATATTTGCGGTAAGTCATCAAACATTTGCATTAAAGTCATAATATTGGAAATATCAGAATTTACTTTTAAAAAAATATTTACTGAACAGAAAAATTTAAATTTAAATTTTCCAAAAATCAAGAGGCTTTCTGATGTTTAGAATTTCTCCTATATTCTAAGGTCTTCAGTTTTGTGTTTGCCTCATGATATATTTGTATATAAGCGAGATACATTGTGTATATTTATATATAAGCGAGATACTGATTATCACCAACAGTTGTCCACAAGAGTGATAACTGGCGTTTTATTCTGCGCTGGGAGAGATCCAATCAGGATATCCGTTTGGTAAGATAACTGTTTTAGTTTTCTCTTATCGGGGGTTTCTATACGCTTATGACTTTAATATATCAAAGGCAACGAACATTTTTACTCCTAAAGCCGATTCAAATTAATTTTTTGAATCATCAACGGTGAAAAGATGTCTCTCGTCTTATATAATTGGATATGATTTGTAATTCGACCTAATAATTTTAGTTTGTACTCTTTTATTTTACGTTTTTGGTTTTGCACTTAAGTTTTCCATATGCGCTGAAAAGGACCCAAATCGGCATCGAAATTTTCGCAATAAATATAATCTATATAATTTTCAAACGTTGCCTAATTAAAAATTTTATCTAAAAAACACCTACGACGCGGCTCTTACTTGCCTTTCTTTGTTCATTGATATCTTGAGAGACATTACAATAATTTGTATTTATTTATTTAAATTTAAAACCACTCAATTTCTTCAATGAAAAAGAAATATTACATATAATTCTAAATATACCCTTAAATATTTTTGAAACCATTTTACGCTTGCATTCAATTCATTTACAAATGAAAGCATTACTGCGTTCAAGTATTTGCTACAAACTATAAAGTACATTTAAATTCGTAAAAATATTACTTGATTTAAGAAGCTGAAAAACAGGTAATTATATTTACTTTATTCTAGCACTTTTTGCTACGTAATCATGCCTATCACATTAACTCAGCCAATCTTTTTTCCTCTGCACAGTCTATTTGAAAAAAAAAGAAAAAAAAGAAAAATGAGAAAGCGTCCGTCGCAACTCCGGAGCATCGGATCTTCCTCAACGAAAGAGTCATTACAGAATGCGCCGTTGCGTAATGTGCAATTTTCATCGGATCGACTTTTCCGCGTTGTCTCGGGGATAACGCGGGTGCGTTGGTGATTCGCCCTGTTTATCAGTTGAAAAGTCCGAGGGCGCATTCGGGGCGGATTTCGAGACGGAATTGCATGATGGATAAGCGTCATCGAAGATGACAGTAATCGTAGGCCGTCAACGAGCTGACGTAGATTGGACACTCGAAAGTACTTAATGGCGATACGGCCTGCTTCGTTGCTCGCCGGTAATTTCAGTCGAAACGCGAATTAATTAACGCCATGATCACGGCGGCATCCTGTAATCGGATCACGGGCGCCGAGAATTATTAGACGAAATACCGCCGCAACGGCGGGTCCTTGTTCATTAACCCTTAAAACACGTAAGCTGTTCCCCGTCACACACGCACCGGCGGCGCCGTCGCAGTTTAATTTATGCGAGAGACAAACAGAGATTGTTCGTCGCGCAATAATTAAAATTTCAACGCGCGGTAAAGTCAGCGTCGATTCTCTAAACGTTCTATTTGCCGCTCCCGCGACTCGTCGTCCGAACGGTTAATTGCAATTCGTGTATTTGCCGTTGCGTACACAGCGACTTTTCGCCCGCTGAAGCCTCGTAATATCAGAGTTCAAGCTTGCGGAAAAAGCGAACGTTCCTCCCTCGTGGAATTCTTCCGGATAACTGACAACTTTCGGACACATTACAAATTTCGATTTGAAAGTTCGGGAATACGAAAAGTTCCGGAGGGCGGATATATTTATATATTTATTATCCCGGATTTTAATGTGGAATTATAACATCTCGGATCTCGTCGTAAAGAGTTCGAACTTTCAAGCATTTAAATTATAATGACGTTAAAATTAACAATCCGGTGGGAGAAAATTTGAAAAAATTGCAACGCGTCCGCCGAGTGGTCTCCCCCTGCCTCTCCCCGATCCGATGTATATGACCGGAGAATATTTTATAAATGTCAAAGCTCGTCGAATTTCACTAACTACGCGATCGGAAAATCTCGGAACGGTGAAATGCGAGCGCTTCGCGCTCCAAGAAACACCGGTAATCGTCGATGCAAAAGATGACTCGCGCGGCGAACGCCCGGCTTTTCGGGGAGAGCGCGCTAAAGATTTAATGGGATCAAACGACGTTGTTGACGTGCCGGATTTTGAGTTTTCAGTACCTGATGCGCACCCGCCTAGGCATTACTCCTTCCAGGTCGTGGAGCACGAGCTGTCTCTCTCGCGAGATAAACGAGCCGCGACGATGACTCCGCTAATGCCCGGCGTGTCGTCGGCGTGTTCCACGTGAAGGATGAAGCGCGCGCGCGCGCGGGCACATGATGCGCGAAAACCCCGCGGATAGAGTCACTCTCGTCGGAAGCGAAAGGGCCGAGGACGAGTCGACCGATCGCTTATAAATCTGAAAGCAAGCAGCGCTACTTCGTCGCAGTGAACGAACGTTGCTCTAAGCTACTTCAATAAACGCATAATTAAACGCGATTTTACTTGATTTTTGTTCGTTACGTTCATCACTCGACGAATTTCCATTCCTTCCACTTCGATTAATCCTCACGAAAAAGATAATGCTTTTCTAAACTACTCGTGCCGATCGATATCCAATAAATGAATAATTAAACGCAAACATATTTTATATTTTATTTGCCATGATATTAATAAATTTGATGCCGCACCCTTTCGCTGTGATTGATCCTTGCGAAAGAATGGTGTCCTTCCAAGTTACTCGTTCCTATCGGCATCCAATAAAAGAATAATTAAACGCACATTTATTTTATATATTTTCTTTGTCTTGACGTTAATAAATTGTGCGGCACTTTTTTTCTGTAATTAATCGTTGCGAAATAATAGAGTCGTTCTAAAACTCTACTCGTTCCGGTCGAGAGATCTAACAAATCAATAATTAAACGCAATTTTATTTTACACTTGATTTGTCTTGATATTACTATATTATTGATGTCGCATCCTTTTGCTGTAATTAATCGTTACAGCAAATAGTACCGTTCTAAGTTCCCACCGAGAGATCCAACAGATGAATGATTAAACGCAATTTTATTTTCTTCACTCTACGATATTACTGAATTATTCCCATCACATCTTTCTACTTTAATTAATCGTCGCAAGAAAGATAATCAGTATCAATATATCATCGGGCGCGACGAGCTGAATCATCCGAGAACAGAGACTCGCGTTTCCCGGATCGTTCCTTACACTCGTTAAGCGCCGTGGTTCATTTCCGACGTTTGTTTTTGTATTTTCGCGAATGTGTGCCGTGTCGCGGGTGCATTAAAGGTGTATCGCGAGCACGGTCGCGATGCGCAACAACACGTGCGTACACCCCTTGTTAGGAAGGTGTGCATCGCCGCGCGCGAAACCTTTGTGGCCGAAAATTGGCAAATTCGCAGCCTGAGAACAATGCGAATATTTCGTATTCAGTATTCGCGCCTTCACGCGCGAACTACCGGCCTTCCTCTTTGCTCGATTCTTTTCCAGCGTATCTCTGAATGCGCTCTTTGACAGAATTCCTCAAAGTTTCCTGACGATATCAACTCGCTTGCCGAGTTCTTCATTAAAACAAGAGATGGAATACGTCACCGCGGAATTAATAATAATAATAATAATATTAATAATAATAGTAGTCGGAGAGAGATTCTTTAGTTTGTTTAAACGGGACAAGAGTTTTGGTATCTGGGACACCTTGTGAAAATTTCAACGTTCGGGACGCGAGTACATTTTTAATTTTCATTCAAATTCTGCGCGCTCCCTGTTTTTATTTCTCAAGCTTCCATTTCGATTTCATACAAATCTCGCGCGCGTTTAATTTCTTTTTTTCCTGCCAATCTTGTTTTAAATTTGCATTCTCTCCCTCTCACGAATTGTATTCTTAATTCAGTCTACCATTTTGTCCATGCATTTCTCTCGTATGTACTTAGGCCTTTATTGCGACGTGTCTGCTCATCAGGCCGTGCTTTAATCTGTTACTAATGAAATTCCTCGCTACGAAGTCTCCGAGTTAATAATGCGGCTATGCAAATTTTTCGGGTTACTATGCGTCTTCAGAAATTCTGCGTCTCTCGCCTCAGTTCTCTTAACGAGTACAGCGCTCTATATTTAAATGAAAGATAAAAAAAAACGAAAAAGGAAGGATAGAAAAGAATAAGGACTGCTGCGTGTAAGATGTGGCCGATATCAATTTGTTGCATTATATTCCTCGCAATTTCGCGAACCGTTATCGACCGTAATGAATATCGCCCTGGATACGTTTCTCTGATGTCAAACATGTCAGAGAATTCTTCGAGCTTCTGCAAATCTTTGAGGCAGCGAAAATAAATCAGCGGCTCGCGGAAACTCGTGCGCGCAGAGTGACGGTTTGTGTAAACGCATTTCCGACAGTGACGTCGTTTGATGTGGACATGGATGTTGAGTGCGTCGTATGTTCGCGCGCTTCCGGACGCATCCGAATTGCGCGTTCATCTGCGCTACAACCACGCTTATTCTTAGGTATTCGTATATCGCGGTATTCATATATCGGAAATAATCGCCGATCATCCCCCAATCTCCACTCGTGGTCGTAATTAATTACAGACTTCTGCTCGTAGATCGTTACCGAGTTATTCGCATTTCTCTCCGATTCTTGAGCGATTTATCGCCCTTTATAATTCGTTCTTTAAACAGCAATTTGCGAAATGGAGATTCGTGAGATACGAGCTCGAGAGGAATTTATGGACGCAAATTTACGATTAATTATTGCCGTAAACGAGACGTGAAAATAATCGAAGATTATATCCGATTACACGAACATCAGTCTGAATTCACTTTCCCATTATCGACTTCCTAAAGAGAGGGCATCACTAAAAACGCCTGACGAAAGCCAACGCGAAAAATTCCAAAGCAATACCCTGGTCAGCCGAATCCTCTCTCGTCGTATCCTGGTGAAAGAACAGTCGGCAAAAAATCACGGGATGTGCTATTAATTAATCCTTTCTTCTCGAGTTTTCTCACGTGAAATATTCCACGAGAGAGAGAGAGAGAGAGAGAGAGAGAATTTATATACAACTCAAATTACTCGATCATGCAACTTCAAGTGAAATAGATCATCGCACGTTTGAATACGAAATAAAGTATTTGACTGTAATTACTATCCCTATTATCGGGATAAAATTACAACTTCTATCCCGTAATTAAAAATTCCATTCCATAATTATAATTATATTACAATTATATTTACAATTCTTGGCGCGAAAAAATGTTGCCTCAAACTGGAAAGCTCGTTTTTAAATCGTCCAACTGTATTTTTTTTAACTGTTAATTATACGTTATATGTTATATAAAATTGTGAAGAAAGACAAAAATGGAACACGCGCGCGCATGGGACCATATTCCTTCCTATCGAACATAAATTAATTTCAGAATGAACCGTTCGATTTTGATATCTGAATAAATTGAACGATTACTAAGAATAAGCGTTAACACGTTAACTGCCATATTGATTTCTGTTGATTACACGAAAGCTTAATTGATGATTGAATTACAAAAGACATGGTAAACAAATGTAATTTGAGACATCGTAAACATCTTTCACCTCGTTTCATTGGTCCACTGTTAGCCGTGCAACCGATTTTTTCAATGCAATTAATTGTATTTCAATGATGAAATAAGGCTTTTGAATTATGTGTAGTCGTGTAATCACAAATCAATAAGAGCTGACGCGGATCATAAATTGCAAATAATTTAATAAATCACTTCTAAATTTATCGCAGAAGCAATAACACAAGATAATGTAAAAACTGTAATATTAACATTTAACATAACATAATTATTAATATAATATAATATTTAAAGATTAACACATAATATACAAGGTCGTCCACTCAAATCGAGCAAATCGAGCAAATATTTCACTTGTTTTTGATGAAAAATCTGTCTAAAGAAAAGTTACACCGTTCGAAGGGACAATTATGATGACAAAAGTTTTTTTTAAGTAATTTTTTTCAGAAATTTGAAAGCCAAAATAATTTTTTAAATAGAATTACATGTTTTTCTTTACGCGAATATATATATATATATATTCTCAAATATATTCTCAAACATAAAAATATAAAAAATAAAAAATATTCAACACGAGTCCCAACCAATATTATATATTAAATATTATACGTCAAAGCGCGAAAAAAGATGATTCCTTTACGAGTTTTTAAACATTATCTAAAATTGGTTGATATCCTTTTGCTATAATGTCAAAGCAGTATATCATAAATCATGTTAATAATCATTTAGCATAAATTCGTCGAGTTCTTTTACGTTGCACCAACCATTGCCTTCTTCACAATATTGTCACAAATCAACTACCTTAAGAAAGCACGTTTTATTTCGTATGCGCACTTGATGCGAGCGTTTCGACGAGTTTTCAGGGTATTGGCCGCTCGGCGTGGTGTGGTGCAATGTATACGTGACATGCGACGTGCTCGCGTGTTCCGCGAGCATAATGCACATGTGCTTCATCTCCCTGGGCCGTTACCTGGGGATCCGCAATCCGCTCAGGACACGACACACATCTACGAAACGAGTGGTGGGCTTCAAGATCGCCGCGGTCTGGCTACTGGCCATGCTGGTCTCCAGCTCCATCACGGTGTTAGGTAAATTACCTGTATAGCTCTTTCCACGGGAAAGCTTTCGGTTACCGATACCAACCGGCACGTATCTCATAAAGCGGCCGGATGCAGGCGCAATGAGAGACTATAAATAGGCGAAGAGAGAGACAGAGAGCGCGTGGGAAACAACCCCCGAAGAGGTGCGTTCGAGAATACATTATACGACCGTAGAATAGGACGGGCAAGAAATTATCATTCCCGTGGGGGTTGGCAAGCATGGGAAGAAGGGAAAATTAGCTGCAGCGAGTATTTAGATAATTGCGTAGCGCGCGTCCGATGGTTCATAATTAACCCTAGAAACCCAGATTATATACATGTAACGGGAAAGCCACACCTGGTATGGTATGCCCGAGTCAAATTTACCTTTTCGTAATTTTTGTAAAACTTAATATTTCTCGTGTGTATTTTTTTATTCGATGCAGTAAGTCTTCGACGATACAATTATGACATGAACAAACTGTTAATATCAATAATGAAAAAAGTTATAAGCGATAAAGTAAACACATGTTTTGAGGAAGACTAATTTTGCTTTAAAAATTCGTATTCTTCGATATATTATGATAAAAGTATGTTTCACAACTGTTCCCGAAAGAAGTTTTGAAATTTAAGAAAAATATGACATTACTGTGTTTCTTAAAAAATATAATTATGTGAGAATATAACAATGAAGAAACTTTGTAGTTCACGGATTACTTCTCTTTATCGAAAAATGCGTTTATTTATATATTTTCTTCTTTTTTTCAATAAAAAATATATATACGTATATATAGACGTAAAAGTGAAATATAGAAATATATATAAAAGGTTTTAATATGAATTTGTGATAATTACTTCTCAGAACAAATTCGGCAAATTTTCGCCGTGTGCTCTGCTCATAAAGCTGTTATATTTTAAATATTTATAACTGGTTCTTCTATTCGATGAAGTGTGACCATATTTTACATATCTGTTTAATTTAATTTAATATAAATATCCAACTGTGTCAATACCAATCTATCAATGGGCCACACAGCAAAACATATAAATATTACTGTACGATTCTCGTATTTATTCTCGTACAAAAATACGAAAGATACAAAATCTTTGCCAAGTGTGCCATGTCCTAAAAAGGAATTTTCTCTCTGTTTATTAATATTTATTAGCATTGATTGATATTTGTTGTCTAATTTTAATGCACTTTATTTATTTATATCAAAATATATTTTCCCGCTGGTTGTTAATATTCACTATCACTGATATTTGATATCTAATTTTAACGGAACATTCATCAGTTATTTAAATTTAACTTTTTAATTTAATTTTAATTTTTAATTCAAAATTTCATTTTAACAATACTCAATTTCACTGCCTCTGACGAGTGTTTCAACGTTAATTCGCGATTTTGCCAAGGAACGAGAATTCATTGCAAATTTTCCGGACGAACGTCCCTACGCCGAATATTCCGATTCTGTCGATGAACCGATAAAGGATCTCACGTTTTTACGGGCAGCTACGCGCAGTACGCCGTTCCGTCGCGAGATAAAGGTGAAAAAAGTCGGCTTAAAGATCGGCGCCAACGATGTTCTATCGGCATTATGTTCATTTATCATGGGGCGATTAGCTCCTCGACAGCTGCCCTAATCGATAATCACGAGCAGCCTCAGCCTCGTCTTTTCTCCGTCTCTCCGCGATGTAAATAGAATGGAAATTCTAATTAGCCAAGTTATACAAATCCCGCGTAATTTAAACAACTTTATCCCTACTACCTGGGGCCGCAAGTAAATCGACTGTGCGAAGTATCGCGCTCCAGTTCGACGCGAAACTCGGCGCTTTATATAGATTATCGAAAATAATTCGCTCTTGGCGCTTCCTTACGTCGTCGTTAATCGGCGAAACGAGCCTCGGGGAATCTAACTTCGATTCTCCCTGCATTTCGTGTAATTTTTGTCGAAACAAAATCCAAACGAGAATATTTTTCCTATAAGAAGATATTTTCCGAGATTTGGAATAAGGTGTTCCTGTTTAAAAGTACCAGGAACGAAGCAAGACATTCTATGAGAGTTTCCAGGTACGAAACGAGGTTTAAGATAAAGACTCGACCTCGACGGGGGTTGTTAGACCTCATAGGCACCCTGCGGTTGCGCTTGATGGCCGATCGAGAGCTCTAATCGGCTCGATGAGAGATCGATGGCTAATCAACGAAGAGACTAATCAAAGCGTGACGAGGACTCGGCTTGTTTCAGGTATAATCAACCCATCGAACATCACACCGCGGCCGGGAGTGTGCGTCATTAACAACCGGGCATTCTTCGTGTTCGGCTCCTTGATCGCATTTTACATACCCATGATCGTCATGGTGGCGACTTACGTGCTGACGGTGCAACTGCTTCGCAAAAAAGCGCGTTTCGCGGCCGAGCATCCGGAAGGCGATCAGTTCCGCAGACTGGGGGGTAGGTACGCGTCCGCGAAAACATCGTCTACGGCGTCCTCGTCGTCCACGACTACGACCACAACCACCGTCATGAGGTCGTCCACCTCATTGACCAGGCAGGTCCACGCTTCCGGTTGCAACGCGGACGAGAGGTGAGCAACTTTTTGCGACCGCGGGGGATTCGGCTGTCAGAATGCCGGAGAACGCGCGGTTAAGCTGCGATATTATTTATCGCTCGACTCGAGCATACAATACGCGGGGTATCTCGAAATATGTACGATAAAACCCGCAACGGGATGATTCTGCAAATATGCAAAAATGAGGAATTGCATAATAAATTCTTTTCGTAGAAACGTAGAAAGATTTGTTTTCGGAAAGATTTCGGACCGTATTCCGAATTTTCTTTTATTGATAAAAGTGTCTCTAAAAATGGCTTAGTATAGTATTCTGTAATGACAATAATTTATTTTTCAAGCATTTAAGCAATAAGTCCCGGCCAAATAATTACTGACATACTAAAATACTGCCAGTATTAGTATCCGCAAATATCTTAGTAATGCTCAATATTAAATAATCTTTGTCAAGTTATTTTGTAAGTTACAATAACGTCTAATTGACGTTACTAATGACGTTTCTGCTCTGTAATTTAGGACCGTTAAAAACACATCATTTTTAAGTTAACTTTAACGAGAAATGACGTAAGATTCGACGTAAATCATAACGTCTGTTTACTACCTCGGTATTTAATCACTCAAATTGATAATATTGCTATTTCTCAAAATCTAAACATAGTATGTTTTTATGAATCTTTTTATTGTGAACTTTAATATTAAATAACCATCTACCTCAGTCACCACCACGCAAGAAAAGACCAAATTTTCTCATTCAGTATAATGTATAATTTATTCGGACGCGCTCACGAGACTCGAAAAGCTGAAAATTACGAAGGCGACGTTCACTCGCGATATAAATATATCGGATATCCGGTCGTCTTTCAAATTCCCGCTTTTATCGCGCGGTTTTATGCAAGGACGACGCGCATGCAATGTCCCTGATATCAGAACGCGATGACGACGTCACAGTCTATGCATCTTAAATCAAGCGTCGCGACGCAACGGCCAGTCCGGAGGTCGCGCGAATTAATGCGATCTAAACTTTCATCATCAACGCGTCAATTTTTTAACAGGAAAACTCGAGACATTCCGCGCACGACCGCGACAATATTGCGTCGCATTACAACTGGCGCGAAACGAGAAATCAAAACAAAATGTAAACACTCTCCCCGGAGGTCCTCCGGGACCTTTCTCTTGTTTTTTATACGGCGTCCTTCGGCTCTGTGGATCCGCATAAATACCATCGCGAAATAATCAGCGACGTCGTGCACCGTTGCTGACAATAGCAACGGAATTTCTCCGCGGATTTAGGCGCCGGATTTCGTTTATTACAGCGGCGACAGATGTGTCGGCGTGAGAAAGGTCCTACCGCAGTTAAAGTTCGCGGTGAACGGCGCCGGAAGTCCCGCCGCAGGATCTCAGCTCAAGTCGAAAGTGGATCAGGCGACCCAAACGCCGGAGAACATCGCGCGCGAAACAAGGAATTTCACCTTGCGGGCGCTGAAACTGCAATTGAACGTCACGCCGACAACCCTGAATCTCAGGTAACGTTTCCTCGCCACGATTCATACATTGAAAAAAGAATTTGGTAATAATAACCAAGATTTGGTTAAATAGCTTCAATTAAATTGTTTGGTTACCATGCAACCAATCGTTTAATATCATATACTGTATTGTAATATCATATATTATATACAGTATATGGTGCTAAATGTTGTTGCAGTAATCAAACAGTTTAATTAAAACTATTTAACCAGATCTTGGTACTAATTGTTACCAAACCTTTCTTTAATATCTTCTAAATTATATATATAAAAATAAGACTTTAATAAAAAAAACTATTATAGTATTAAAGATTAATAAATGCAGATATTATACGCAAATTTCAGGATTACTAATTATTTTACATTGAAAATTCAGCGTAAAGATCATAACTTATAGTAATACTTAAAATATATATACATAAAAACATATTTAAACACTTGCAAGTACCTTACCTCTTTCTATTATTTGTACATCTTTATTAAATCAACTAATGCATAAATATAGCGTTAATGAGAAAAATAAAAAATATTTTCGTATTTGTAATATTGTTTACCTCAATTATATATATTTACCCGAACTTGATTTCAAATCAACATTTATTATTTAAGTAATGAAATAAACGTATATAGAAACGTAATTTTGCTTGAAAAATAAAATTGATGAAAAAATCAATTGATAAGTAGCCCCCTTGATGCACCACTGGAAATATGGAACTAATAGACATCCTTAATATTAACGTAAAGTTTTTCCGGAAAAATCGTCCGATTAAGTTCGCGGTATTACTACGAAAGTAAACTTCTCTTTTTTCTTCTTTCTGGAGTGTCTTATCTAAGATTAATTAGAATTACAATCCTGTGAGATTAATGTTCTTTCAGATTCCTGGCGGGGCGAACGAGAAAGAGATCCTTGGCCGCGAACGCGGTTGCAACCGAACAGAAGGCTAGCAAGGTTCTCGGACTGGTGTTTTTCACATTCGTATTATGTTGGGCGCCGTTTTTCTTGCTTAACATCTTTTTCGCCGCGTGTCCCACGTGTTCTGTGCCAGGACACGTGGTGGATACATTCCTCTGGCTGGGTTATGTGTCCTCGACAATCAACCCAATCATCTATACCATCTTCAACAAAACCTTCCGAGCCGCGTTTATCCGTTTATTAAAGTGCAAATGTTCGAGGTAATCCTTATTTTTCCTTTTCTCTTCATATGCAGAATGTACCCGATGCGCGGTATTAATCGATAAGTTTTAATTTTACGAAACCTTAATTGTACGAAGACTTAATTTTACGAATTTAAAGAAGAAATCGATAGTTTTAACCTTCCGACTTTCCTAGCAAGCTGAATTTCGCAAAAGTGCTTAAGCTGGGCAAAAAATGGGTTTTCAAAAGTTAGCAGTGTCATGAAAATTTTGTATCTAGGGGTTTTAAGGTCACTGTTTATGAATACGAAGTCAAAATTTTTCACATTTAGGACGATAGACTCAATGTAGCGACTAAAATCATAACTTTGAACTTCTACTCTATCACTCTTGACTTGAGGAAAATGTCATGAAAAAATTAATCGTTCGATTCTCTCAAACTAGAGATTCAAACGTCAACCCTTTGTAAAATTTTATCAACGAACGCGACGTGCGTTTTCCGTGCTTCGCAAACGACGAAAATTAACGCAATAAAACCGTGATCATTCATTCAGGTCCGCGAGGCTTCCGAGGTATCGGTCGGTCACGGAGAGCGGAAGGGGCGCGATGGGCCTGTGCACGTCAGGTGCACTTCCGCTGGCCATCAGTTTCCAGGGAACACCTTTACTAACTCCGTCGTCGAACCCAACGCCGACGCCGGCCTCAAGCAGTTCTTTCGTCGCGATGATGCATCGCACAACGGACTCGTTGTATCGAGATACCTTCCTGATTCATGAAAGCGAGCAAGGCAATTAATTTCCTTCGTCACGATGAGCCAACGGATCGACAAGATCCGCACAGAATAATTCCGTTAAGTACTTGTCAATTTTTTAAAGCCGCGTAATGAGTAAATGTAGAAGACGAGCATAGGGATCAAATTCATGTACGAAGCGAAATAAAGTACTATCACTTTACTGTTTTGACATGAGTCTTCCTTATTACCCCGTAGAAATACAATCTGAGTGACACCTAACATACACCTGGTGAATCATGTTATAACGGGAATAGCCATTTTCGAGCATTTGAATGATTGGCAACAATACCTCATCGTTATTTTTTCAAATTGTATTTTTTTACTATTTTTAATTAATTAAAAAGGTGAGGCAATGAATTAAATACGTATATTTTGCGAGATTATTTACAACCCCCATCTACCGCCGAAGGGATGATGAGTGGTGGCCAAGTGAAATTATTTTTTGAAAGATAAAAGTCCAAATTACATTTCAATAACAAGATTTAGGCTGGAATCTACCTTTATCATAGATAAAAGAAGTATTGTAAAGTAAATTTGCTGTTCCTATATACGAGCAGAGAAACGAAATGGGTTAATGGTCAGACATTTTTAGTAGGCATCTGATGACTGTTGGATGACAGACTTAATGTTTTGACGTTTTTTCCTTCCATTGGTAAAGACGATTCCAATATTTCAGATTGTTGTTTTTTGTTCAAAAAAAACGAGCAGGTTTTCGATGTAACGATTTTCAAACAGAAATTTATCGCTCTTATCAGATAAACTGTAATTAGCTTTCCCGATTTACACGATATTTCTCTGAGAATACAGTTACTGTAGAAAAATGCACGATAGCCAATTAGCGCGATCACTGTTATCAAATCACGTCACTTTCCTGCAAATTACTTTTTGTATCAATTACGCATAATTCGAAAAGCTTCCGCACGATAAAAATACGTTAATGAATAAACGGGAGATTTCTAAAAAAAACGGGACAAAAATTTATTCCGGTCGACTTTTCACTCAAAATGACATGTAGAATTGTCAGCCAATAGCAGTATTCGCTTCGTATACAAGTTTATACATACATGTATAGCAAAACCTCACAACAAGGTAATACAACAGAACACCGTTAAACTTTCAGAAAATTGAGTTTCCAAGCCTACAGCGGAAAAATAGCGTGCACGAAAATTTCTGTATACGTATGCGTGTGCGTTTCCCATCAAGTAAGATTTGTTCACGAAATTACGGCAAACGGTGTTGTTTGTCTTTTACTTTCTTTTTGCACATGTCACGCTATCACCTTTTTTGCTTTCGTACTGCTTTTAGTTATCGTCACTTATCACGCTCCACCTAGGCAAGTTCGCTTTTTTGTTGAAGCTCGATAACCGCCTTCACACTTTTATAAAATAATATGAAAAATATAGTATTAGAAAGATGATGTTACTTAACAAGCTTCTCGGGAACTAATTGGTCCTCAGTTGATAATTAGACTTCAACATTACGTCGATCTTTCAAAGATAAAACAGAACGATCAAAATTCGACAATCGATAGAATAACAAATTGTCAAGTATTGTTCACTTGATATTCACACAGTCATTTTAATCAACTATTAACAATGCGAGCTATATAGGATGTGTAAAAAGATCGACTATCTGCTTGAAGTTTAACTCGCTTTTATCGGCGCACGAACAACGATTCCTCGCATTTACCTTCGGCCGGAAACGTTACGACGCTTCGCGAGTGGAAGTAAATTCGATGAAAGAATCCTGATATGATAAACACGGAAACGGTGATATCCCGGTGTTTGAAAAACCGCGAGATGACGACAGTGACGAAATTTTCGCGTGTTTGCGGTTACATTATCGCCGCAAATTTATCAACGACACGAACTGGATGTGTCGATAAAAGGAGGTGTATACTCTATTAAACCTTACTTGTCAAATGCGGTTGAATTGCTCAAAAATAACACGATGAAAAATAACGTTCAATCGGCACGGGCATTGATCAAACTTTCATTTCCCGGAATCCTGGAAACGAACTTGAAATATGTCTCGAATTTTCGCAAGACACAGCGTATCAAGTTTCCGGGATGTTACGTGAGTAAAAATGGATTTTCCCTGAACGTAGAACCTAAAAACAACGTCAGATATTGAAATCTCTAGAAAATAATGCTAAGAGAATTTCACTCTTCCTTCAATATATTCCTCGAATAACGCTTCATATATATTTCTAATTTCACAAATATTATTTTGAGAATCAAATACAGATGTATTTTAATTGTGTTTAAGATATAAATTATCTCTCAAATTATATACCTTTCTATGACGTAAAAATTACAAACTATATTAGTATCACGAAGATATCAGTCTTTATTTGCTTGTGGGCTAATCATAAACACGCTGAAATTAGTTGAAAGTATCATCCCGGAATATATTTAGAGTGAAGTATTAAAACGATGCAAAAGAGTGATATTAGTACGTTGCTTATCACGAAAGCCCATCGGGTGAATTCGCTTTTGCTGACGACAGCTGTTCGACCCAGTTGGCGTGCAAAAATAAGACGAACGATTATTATAATCCGCGATCCCAGAAGCCAGGAGCGTAATTGGCTGAGTTGGAAAGAATTCTCATTTGTCGATTCGACAACATAGTCGGGTTATTCGCCGCGGAAGCGGTTTTGCGAGGCAAAGTTTGCCGGCCGTCCTTTTAGCAGCCAGTTTGTAGAAGCATGTAACCATGCTCGATAGGATATAAGATAAAAATAATAAGTGCCTTTTAATTGAAAAGACAAAAGAAAACACGATTTTTTTCGCGAAAATAAAATCATTGGGGAGGAATTTGAATTTTCGAACCGCCAAATCTAAATTGCCGCGGAAAGATAATAATATTATCAAGAGCGAATTTAATTACTAAATTAAAAACATTAACTTGTTCACACACATCCGACACAAAAATTGCTGGAGAAAAATAAAAATAATTACATCGCGCACTTTGTACGCGCTGAAAAATTCTCAACCAACCGTGAAAATGGGTTAGCTTCAGATAGCTGCGAAACACATTTGAAGTAAATTCCACGTACGAGATACGCCGTCGGGAAACATTTTCCAACTTTAAAAATAGCATTAGCACATCACGTAATTCATACACGACAAGAGTACTCGACCGATCGGAAAAGTCAGAGTGCGCTACCGATGGAAGAGCAGCGCGTTTTCCGATTTTTCTTTCTCCCTTTTTTTTCCCTTTTTTCGAATCGATAAAACCGACAATAAGTACATTAACGGAGCGACAGCGGTTGCGGCACGAGTTATTATGCAACGCTACAATTAAGGCAATTAATAAACAAAATAAATAAATGAGAATAAATAAGATGAGACAATAATGGTTATGAACAAACAAGTAAAATAAACGGAGTATAGTGAGATTAAACCGAAAATCCCGATTTCAAATTGAAAATAGATCCCGCCTCAGCGAAATATTTGTTTGCGGGCTCATAATTTGATGTTTGAAGTGAAAACGCGAACAGAATAGGAAACTCTCCGCGAAATTTTCGGCGCAGAAGATTCAATTCCGTATTTTATTTCCCGGTATCGGGAACGTGATTTTGCGACCGCCGGTATTTCTAGAAGCGGATCCGAAGATAAGCTAGGCGTATAATAATGCGAAGTTCCGCGGAATGAGCATTCGAAAATGCGACCCGCGAGGTCGACATATCATTTTCGGGGCGCGGCGGCAAAGGCCGGGGAAAAATTTGGACGCGATCCATTCGAGGATTCGTCGGACGTGCCTTTCGCGCTCTTTCTCGCTCACCGTTGATTTTATTCCTTCATTAGGCTCATCTAATTAGGGTAAAAGCACTCCGGCCTTTGCGCAGGACAAACAGCTCTACATGAAAGCTGGAACGACCTAAATGTATTTGAGAATATCATCGCGCTAATGCGAATCTTATGAGTTTCGATAAAAAGCGAGAGTCGACGAGCATGATTGATGCCGAGCTTTCCGCGAATTGCAAGTCGAGAATATCGCGAATGAAAGAGATTGTCGCGCGCCCACACATGCGTAATATTAAAACGTCATATTAACATGTAACACATTTTAATATGATATATAATCGAGATGTGAACATCCATCTCTGGGCAAATTTCGAAATACAATGTGGATTAATTTGTGATTTCTTTCGCAATTTTTTCATTATTCTGACTCACGGGCGATAAATCCTTAAAATCCTCGCGCGCAACGTTCAATCCCAAATATTAATCCCAAAAATTAATCCTAAATATTTACCGAAACTCAGCACGCGTCTACGGGCAACACCGCGATTCGCAAATTCGTCTCGGAATAACGAACGTGCGCTTATGCAAACATTACACATTGCGCGCATCTTGAGCTGTCGTCTAAACGAGGAAACGTTTCGTTGCCGCGAAATTCATCGAGTTCCGACTCGGCTCGCGTAATGCTCATAAGTAAGTTTAACGCTTTCCGAAGGAGACGGGTATAACGGCGGAACACGGTACCTCCATTACGTGTCGCTGTCGCAGTTTGCAATTTGCGATTTCTGGATAGCCGCGAGGATGACGCCGTGCTGGAGGACGACGTGCGCCCGCCGTCAACAAAGTGATCGAATCGACGACGTCGGCGACACAATCGACAGTTTCCGCAAGGATTCCAAGCTTGCTGGCGCTTATAATGTCGCGCGAAAACAATTTGTTGTTCCCATGAGCATTCGCCGAGCGGGAATTCGTCCACGGTTACGGTAATGCGCGTTAATCATTAATCGTTTTACAACGCTTAATCATTAACCGTCAAATATAAATTTGCTCATTAATTATTAATCGAATTACTCGTCGGATTCATCGTGATTACGTGTTTTACATCAATCTGCCGGACGATCGATGTAATAATTCGCTGGAGCGCCTAATTTATATTTCGGAGGGAAATTTTTCCTTTTTTAATTATGATTGTCAATTGGCTCGTTGTGCCCGCTTTCGTAAATTGCTCGTTATTTCGTATGTATCGGTCGCAAACCCTCCCCGTTTTAACTTCGTAACCGCACATTATAGAATATGTTAATAATTACTGCGTTACTATATAATTATTGACGTATTATTGCACATTATGAGATAATTACGGTAACTACGCGTGACTTGCGGATACGTAAATGTAAA